TTAGAAAATTATTTTAGCAGGGATATTTTTTTTTTGATAAAGACTTTCATTAAGAATTTTTTTAACAGGAGAGATTTATTTTTGATAGAGAATTTCATTGAGAATTTTTTAATAGGGAAGAATTTTTTTTCTTGATAGATAATTTTTTTAGAAAATTATTTTAGCAGGGATATTTTTTTTTTGATAAAGACTTTCATTAAGAATTTTTTTAACAGGAGAGATTTATTTTTGATAGAGAATTTCATTAAAGAATTTTTCTTTAATAGGGAGATAAATAATATTGCTGAGAATCTTTTTATAGAAATTACATTGTGGAATTTTTTTTTTAATAGAAAAGAAATTATTTTTTTTGATAGTTCGTTAGTAAATTTTTTAACAGAGGGGATTTTTTTTTTGATAGAATTTCGGTAAAGAATCCTTTCTTAATAATAGGGAAGGTTTTTGATGTAGTTGATGAAAATCTACACAGTATATATGTTGTGCCTCAGATTGATTCTTGCCTCAGATTAAAACTCACGCTGCGTGAGATCAACACCAGATCACGTGCATTACATATATGGTAATTTTACTATGTAGATCATCACGTGTATATACATAATTCGTCACATCCTATTGGTAGTTTTAATCTGAGGCAAGAATCAATCTGAGGCACAACATATATATATATATTTTTAATTAGTAACGATTTCTTTATTAATTAAAAATTTATATATAATATAGATTATATAATTAAATAAAAGAAATACATAGAGATAGATAGTGATACTAAGTACATATATACCCTATAACTGACTTTAATTATCTGTAAACTAACTTTAGGCATTTTGTGCCATGAATATTTCTACTATTATTTTTTTGTAATTATTGTAATTTTCATTCTTTTTTTTGTTCTTTTACCATTTATCATCATCTATATATACAGTATAGTTAGATAATATAGTTATTAAGTATGATATGTATGATATAACCTCCGGTGCTAGTATAAAGTGTGGTACTAACTATACATTTATAATAACTATATTTTCTATATTTTGTAACTTTTTTAATAGTGGATATAAAAACTTGATCCAACCATTTTAGATCGATAAATTTTATCGATCATTTTTTTAAAAAAAATAATTTTTATTTTTGAATTTTTTTTGTTTTTTTAAGCCGATGACAAAGAAAAATAATTTTTTTTTGTTTATTTTTATTTTTTTTATTAAAAACTTCTTTTTTTAAAGAAAAGTTTAAGCACTACCGGACTAGAACACCACTTTGAAGCCAAAATCTCACAATTAGGTGAGAGTTGAGCATGTAGAGCAGGATTTAAGGAACATTTGACTTTGTAGGTACCTACTTGAACGTCTGAACGAAGATTTTGGCCTTTGATTCCGAATGAAAGATAAGCATTTGGAATTGGGAGTTAGGAGACGTTAGTAGGACCTTTACTAATATTTCTTTCGTTTTCTTTTAACCGTAGTAACCTCCTATTTGAACACCTTGAAAGGTACAGGTTAAGAACAATATTGCTTGAAGAACTTGGGTACGTTGCAATAGAAGATTTGATTTGGATTTTACTTAAAGAAACATTTTAATGTTTCATTTTTTTTCTTTTATTAGAGAACAGGACGCGTCCAATATGTCATTCAGGATTATTAGGTGATAAATTATGAAAATTTTAACACTCATATTTCTATTTTTCTATTTTATAGATAATAAATCACTTAAGCTGAATTGGTTATTTTATTATAAATGATTTTTTTTATATATTATACAACCTCAGAGGTTATACATACTCAATCGAAAAAAAAAATAATTTTATAAATTTATTATAATTGTAAAATTTAATAAAAAATTTCCCAATTTTTTTTTAAAAAAAATTTCATGCCAAAATTCTCAATACTCCTATTAAAAAAAATTATTTACAATAAATTTTTATTAAAAAAGACTTCTAAAAGAAATTCTTTATCAAAAAAAAAGACTCACCTATAAAAAAACTTTTTAACCAAACAAATGAAAATTTTCTAACGAAAATCTTTCCTATTCAAAAAATTTTTAACCTATTAAAAAAAATTCTCAAAAGAATTTTTATATCAATCCTATTATACTAGCTTGTTTTCAAAAAGGTGTGATTGGGTGATTTTCGTGATACAGTGATCTGAACCTGTCTCTTATACACATCTAGATGTGTATAAGAGACAGGGAGTATTGNTTAAAAAATTTACTAACGAAATGATCTATCAAAAAAAAAAAAAATCTTTTCCATTAAAAAAAAATTCTACAATCATGAAATTTCTATCAAAAAAAAAAAAAAAGATTCTCAGCAAAATTAATTACGAAATTCTCTATTAAAAACAAATCCTCCCATTAAAAAAAATTCTCTACCACCAAAAAATATTTTTGCCTATTAAAAAAAAAATACTCAAAAAGAAATTCTTTACTAAGAGAAGCTCCTTCCTATTAAAAAAAAAATTCTTTAAAAATTCTTTATCAAAAAAAAAAAATTCTCCTTGTTAAAAAAAATTTTCTATCAAATAATCGGTAAGGCGCTATATATGGAATCCAAAAGATTTGATTTCCATAAATGGAAATCATTGTAACATGAAAAACAACGAGACAAGTTGTTTCATAACAAGTCACTTGTGTAATTATACGGTACGCCATCGCCATACATTTGTGCTGTTCATTCCAAAACGTGACATGTTCGAGTCAGAATCTGCGCATAATTGGCTAATAACGATCATTAGTTTTGAAAAGTTTATATCGTGACTTTATAAAACTAAAAATTTTTCCAATGATAAATTTTAAAAAAGGTTTTAACTTTATTTTATTATTTGTTTGCAATTATATAGATAGATTTTAGATAGAATACAGGTCGTAGATTTAGTTAGTGTCTTATATACGGGATGGATGGTAGGTTCAGTACGTAATTTTATTGCTAGTTTTTGGATGTATGGTATCAGTGGATGGATTTTGACGTGATCCGATTTTACTTTCCTGGATTAAATGAAATCACAGCTTAGTAACATACAGTAAATTGGATCTATCTATAACCCGAAAAAACTCTAACAGGTTTCTTTTCTATAGGTTTTTTACAGGGATTTGGTTTTTACGCAGATTCAATAGAAATAGTTATAGATTTTTAGATAATAAATTTTAGTTATAAAGATAATATTCTCTAGAAGAATATTATTTTTAGATCTGTAAATTGTTTACATATTAATAAAGAAATTTTTTTAAAAAAAAAACTTTATAAAACACGTAATGATTAACAGGAAGAATTAATTTTCAATCCAGCAACATTCCGTGAATTTTATTTCTTCTTCAAACTAGATTCTATATTATATGCCCGTTTATCTCAATATTGATTATTGTTCAATTTAGATAAACGTTAATTTACTTTGCTCGATTCATAATTAACTCATTTTTTTCAAGGTAACTGACATTGTATAATCTTATAGTTTCGTATTTCTAAATAGATTTAGTTATCAATTAGATTAATCAGTAATTTTAATATTATCATCATGATTTCTTTCATTCTATAGGTAACTGATCTGTCAATTTAGACTAGAATATTAATTAGGGGTTTTCGATCTCTATTTAGCTAAATTTTTTTCATATCTGTATACAATAGAACAATCCTTTATTATTATCTCCTAAAGTGTTTTATTGTATGTGACAAATTTCCCCAGATTTTTGCAAATAAAATAGGCAATTAATTAATGAATTTTTATATTATCATGAATTAATTAATGAATTTTACATTACCATGAGAACTAACTGAAAGGTTAATAAAAATGAATTCGTGACAACTACTTCGATAAAAAAAAAAATATGTACATACAGTATATTCAAAAAAAAAGATCATTAATATATGATCAACAAAAAAAAAAAATTATTTTTCTAACCTTTTCAACTTTTCACACGATTTCAGAATATGCCAGATGTAATTTATACTCCTAATTATGTACCAGGATAATTTGATGATATACCTGAAGATGAACAAGATGAACAACAAATAAGTAATGATTAAAAAAGGTTACAAATTTCGGCTTTGAGTGGATTATAATTTCGGCCAGAATTAAAATAATATTATTCCATAAATTTTTATTAATTTTGGTGGTCCCAGCCTAAATTAACCGAGCCGGTATCCGGATAAAAACCGGATAAAACTTTTTTTTTTTTTTATTTCAGTAGAGACAAGTATTACAAATGTATTTAATAGAAGCGCTAACTACAAAGTAGAAAAGACTAACTATTTTAAGTATCAACATCCCGCAAGCAGGCCCAATTAAGAACTACTTCAACAGTAAAACTACGCTACTGCTAAAGCTAGAAAAATGAAACGAAATAAAAAAAAAATAAAAAAATAACGCACTGGGTAATAGGAATATGACTAAATAGGAATAAAAAAAACGGGGGGAAGGAAAAAAAAGCTAAAGCTAAAAAAAAAACCTAAGAACTATCGCACTACAACTACCTACAAATTCAACTATTCACTCCTTTTTAATTCACCCAATAACTTCAACGTGGGAACCTATAAATGAATTAAAGAAAAAAGCTGCATGAAATTAGTATATTAGTCGTACAAGTATCAGAGGCACTTCCTTTTTCTATTCTTAGGATTTTGCTTGAAATCAAAACCGGATAAAACCGCTACGGATCGAAACTCTAATTTAAATATCAATTTATATCACGTGATACGTTAAACTTGCAATTTTATTGGCTAGATTTATATAGTTTAGATTATAATTCTTAATTCTGGCCCGACTTAAATATAATTTTAGCCAGATTTATATAGCTAAAAGTAATTTTGGTCAGAGTAAAGTGGCCAAAATATTTAATAGTAAAATATTCTAACTTTGAATTGCTACAAAAAAACATTTTATAGAAAATTAAAACTATAGCTTTGTTAAGCTTGTTCTGTTTTATTATTATAGTTATACTTTACATTATCTTTTTTTTTTTTTTGAATGAATAGTAGTAATTTTATTCTCCTCTATACTAGAAACTCTTTTTCATTTATCTATTTTACCCATACCTTGAGACTTCTCAAATCTAACTACCTCTTCACATCTCAATTTCCAAATTCTTTCATAAATATATGACAAATATAAATCACATTTCGAATCAGATTTCTTGTATTGTTTGTTTTTCCAAATCTTCACGTTAATAAGTCCACGCGTGATCTCGTATAATAAATTCTCTAAAGGAAGTAAACGTGACTTTAGTGTAACAATGTTATAACACTTTTCCCTTTCTTTCTTATCTTCTATTATTTCGCTGACTACTTCCTTCCATAAATCATATAAACAAAATTTATTTCGATTACAGTTCCAAACATGATCCCATGATTCTACTCCTTAGTTACACCTGATACATCTATTTGAAGAAATTCCAAACACTTTACGCTGATATAGTACTTCTGATTGTAGTGATTGAAGAAAGTTCTTTATTCTAAATGCTCTAATATGTGTATCCATACACTGACTTCGTTACGAATTATCATAAAAAAAATTGGACAATTAATATCGTAACTTATATTGGTCACGAATAAATTTTCTAACTGCTTTAGCAGCATAAGTTCCGCCTTATTATTAAGATAACTAAGGTCTTTGTCCACTTTCTGTAGCAACCCTCTATAACAAAATTCTTCCAACGTAAATTAAATTCATCAACTAGTAAATTATTCCATAATATACTAATATCTGACATTGTCGACGCGTTATCTATTAAATCTTTCTTCATTGCTTCAATCTTAACGTTGAACGCTGACGTCTCCTCCAATACGTCGCAAATAAATTCAACTCGCAGATTCTTTTCCGCAATTATTTGATATAAAAACTTGAGCAACGTATAATTGTTGAAATCTATTTTTTCCCTATTACTCATCTCGTTTCTAAAATTTTCTAACTCGACAACATACTTGTTAATTTCGATAATAACCCCAAAGCTATAATTAATGTAATCAAAATGCTTTTAATCTCATTTATCTTCCTCCATACTAAATTTAAAACTATTGCTTCTATTTTTTTATATATTGAACTCTACACTTCCTAGCGTTTGTTTTTTTTAACTTTATCGTTATTATATTTAACCATTGACGCTGCCGTAATTGTTATTTTCTTAATATCTTTCCAATTACCAATCAAAATGTTTAAATTTCTCCAAATAAAATTTTCTTTATTTGTGCAAATATAGTCTAACCATATCAAAAAGTTCACCTCTTCTAACTCTTCCATTCCCATTCTTTTTAATTCATTCATTTCCTTATCTTTATTGATAATCAAAATATTATTTTTATCTATATTATTTTTCTTACTTTAATTTCTCTATTTAATCCGTCCCCAATATTACAGTGTATTAAACAGTTATCTTCCTCTTTGTTTCTGGCAATATTCTTACTGCATTCCGAACATTTCTTTAACAATGGAGCGCCATTATCATTGCCAACCATCGAACCTTCCATCTTATAATAAAAACCTATACTATTAAATGTTTTACTCTTGGATTTCCGCTTATATTTACAAAATATAGCTCCATCGTTATCGTTCCACGTAATCATTTTATTATTTTTCTTAGAAACTGTATCGCTGTCCTTTAAGCAATCTATCGATTTTGTGCTCTGCCTTGTTAATTTTATACCTATCTTTAATCTCTCTCGTATTCTCGTCTGTACATACTATTTGACTTAAACGTTTATACCTTATGAAGTTTAATATGATGGATCATTCTAGTCCAAATTATAATATTGTTATTGTACGGGGCTTAATAATGATCTGATGTAGTGCGAAGCTTTGACGTGACTTTCAGATGGATTGCTACCAATCCACGTGATGGCGTGGCTACGTACGAAATAACTGCTGTAATTGCGAAAGATGCAGTTAAAACTTTTATATAATAATAAGGAATTTTTTGGGAATTCTAAAATACCCAACGGAAAGCTGCAATTATAATGTTGCAATCACTAGTGCAGATTCAACCTTTATTTTTAAGTGATTGCAACGTCCTAGCTATTGATCGAAGCTCTTCATTAGGGTGCTCTTCAAAAATAGTAGATAAAAGATTGAGCGCGACTGTGGTATTGAAATGTTGACCGTGTTTTGTCTACTTGCTCCCAAAAAAATTTCGAAGTTGACTACAGAAAACCTCAGCATTGCAAAAAGTGGCAGACACGTTGTGAGTCTTCTTCGATATGATGTGACTGCAAATCTGAAAGCTTCTTGCAATAATCATTTAATTCCGAGTTCCTGACAAATACATTATTATACTCTTGGATAGTGCATTTCCTTTTTCGTTTGTGGAGATTTACAGACTTTGGCTCATCAAAATCTTCATCCTCAGCTTCATTTATAATATCGCCCTATGAAAAAAAATTTCTTTAAAATATACTTAAAATGTACTTATATATTTTAAAATATATCTAAAATGTACTTAAAATTTTTAAATGTACTTATAATATACTTAAAATTGCAATTTTAAGTATATTTAAAGTATAAAATTTTATACTTAAATTACATTTAAAATATACTTAATTGCAATTTAAATATAATTTAAGTATAATTTAAGTGCAATTTTAAGTATATTTTAAGTATATTTTAAAATGTTAAGTATATTTTAGGTATATTTTAAAAATATATAAGTATATTTTAAGTATATTTTAAAAAAATACATAAGTATATTTTAAGTACATTTTAAAGAATTTTTTTTTTATAGGGTCGTCACACGATTGTGATGAAGTATCGTCACATGCATGACTGTGATTGTTTACACGATTGTGATGACGGAAGTACTCGCCTCACACGTTTTCAGCTTTAAATAGATAAAACGAAGTCAATATAATTGAGTTAGATGAAACGCACATACCAACAGCCAAAGTCTGGGGAGACTGGGCATGGCTCCGTAAGGCACCATGCCACCAATGGCACAGCGACCAATTGGGATGATAACTGCTTCGTGATTACCACAAAGATTTGGCTCGCCAGCGACGAATGGCACACGCGACAACCCCAGTTGTGGATGCACCCCATCTCAGTCCAAGTGCTCAACTTGCCGGCAAAGCCCAACACTTGGGTTTATGTCATAATCACTAACAGAGTGTTTTCGACTCCTCAGACAAAACTAGTAGAACTATAGAAGGACGTTTACAGTAGGCCGCTTTCCGTACGCCAGGTCTGGTTACCTGACTGGAAGCTTTCGCAAACTGTAGCCACGAGGTGCTTCCAGTTCTACAAATTCTACTAGTCTGCACAAAGAGAACTAACCTGTTTCAATTTATTCCTAAAGAATTTCAACTTCAGACTTTTATTGTCATTCTTGTCATAAACACAAGTGATTCGATTTATATCGTTTTTCAAGGCTTTGTGACATTCATTATCAGTCGCATCTAGATGATTTTTGTAATAACAATTTTCCCAGATAATATAAACTTACCAGGACATGAGAGTTCATTAATTATTTTTTTCGTCAAAAAAAAAAGAAGTGACGAAAAGAATAAACAAAAGTAAAAAAAAATTTTGAGGTATATATAGTTTAATCGCGTATTGATTATGCACAAACTGATTTGATTTCACGATTATGATGATTTTACTATGTAAACAATGTAAACAGAGCTTAAGAGCTTAGGAGCTTAGCGCGTAAAATTTACAAAATTTACACTTGTTCTTTTAAGTGAGACGCGACGCGCCCATTTATTTATACATAACAGTATTTGAATACTGTGAGTAATTATAACATCCTGAACAATAGACATATCACGGTCCTAGCCTACCTAATAAAAAAGGATGGTCATGTGAACAAAAGGTTAATAATAATGTTGTTTCCGAGTTCTAAACTTTCCTATTAAACAAAAAAAAAAGATGCCGGGGTGGTCCATACGAACAACAAAAGGCTTTTTATGGATAATAATGTTTAATGAAAAAGTTTTTGGATACTAACTCCTAACCCGAAAAGATTCAAATTTTATGAGACGATCACTTTCAGCACTCTTGAAGAAATTAAACTTTAAAGCCTACTGTCTAACAATGTTACTGTTTACTGGAATTTTTAAAGAGGTGGGTAAAGAGTATTTTATTACCCACTGGCCATAATCCTTGACTGCACACCGCGTAAGCAACGTGCGAAGGTTTATGAGGGCTGACCGAACGACTTTAAAGGGTTGCAAATAGATGACTGGGCCCATCATACGAGAACTCACCTCAAGGTTATATCATTGAAAGTGGAGCCTTGGTTAAGGTACCTGAATATAAATCATCAGGTTCAAATTCACCGTCTTGAAGATATAGTAGTTGGTCTGTAAAGCGCTCTGGAGTCACTCTTGCAAAGGATCTGATGGTCGTCATAATAGAGAACATAGATGGTGGTAAAGGATACCATGATATATATAGTCACTCCTGAAGTGTATGCTTATCCCTAAGGTAGTTGGTTTATGGTGTACAACCACCTGTCAAAATGGTTACTGTTTACAATACCATTTTGGTATTCAATATTATGGCCTGAAGTGAATGATCTAGAACTAACATAAGGTTTCAATGTTAATTTATAGGGACCTGTAGAATGACATGAGCGGAAAGTTCAGTTTACATTTTTCGTTATTTTATGTTGACACGCACATAATTGGTTGACTGACCACCCAACTATTGCGTGTTCCAATCAAAATAATAATAATATAATTTCTCTTAGGGAATATTTCAATTGTGTAAGATTTTTTTTTTTTTTTTGATGGAAGAGATCGTATTGAAAAATCAAATATATAAGAATAACAATAGTTACGACTACAAAAATTATAACCAGAATAAAATATCTATTTATTTTAGAATAACTTCTTTTTTTAGGAATGAATCTCTTTAGAAAAATAAAAAGATTAATTTATAGGAGGAATTAGGGATAATTAGGGGGTGATAATTAGGGTAAGGGATTAGGGTAAGAGGATTAGTGCAAGGGTAAGAGGTTTTTAAATATCATCGTTGAAGATAACTCGCTTTGATAAATCTCATAAATCTCAGGCAGTTGATTCGTTACAGGCTTTAGTCTCAACAATTTAATATCAATCAATGTAGTTCTTGAGTTCAAATTTTGTTAATACCGTAAATATGAATTCAAAGCAATTAACTTACGTAAACTCATATATTGCGTAATGAAATGTTGTAAATAAAATCACTGTGACTTAAAATGTTAAAAAATGCAGCTTGAGTGATTAATAAAAAAAATAAATGTATTTCCTACTGAAGCTACTTCAACAAAGGTTTTCCTGCTTTGTGCGTATTTGGTCTTTTAAATAACGTCCTCTATGTTCTATAAATATCAGGACATTTTATTAATTGGAAGAAATTTTTTGGTGTCGAGTTTCACAAATTAATAATAAGGGGAGTACACGATTTCAGTGTTCATGGCGCAGTAGAGTATACTGCGCCACGAGTTCGAAATTTAAAGTTTACACCGGTTACACATACATAAACCACATGCTCGCTTTTTTTTCTTTTTTTTATTTTTAAAAAACAGATAAATAACGTATATTTATACTTATATAGTTTGTAACACTAAAATCTACATTTCTAACACATTGAACACAAAAAAATATTCATACTTTGATGATAAAAAAACCATGAACGCATATATTTATGAAAATGAATTACTTCTTAAATTAGAAAAGGAAGGATTTATTACTCCAGATGAAAAAGTAAAAGAACTTTTAAAAGAATTGACAGAAATAAAATATTTATTTTCTTTAAAATTACTTTTCGAAAATTTTCAAAATAATTTTTCATCACAAATTTTAATAAATTCATTAAAAGCATTATCAGATCCTACTCAATTTGATTATTATTCAAAAGAAAGTATAATTAGATTAGAATTACATTTAAGAACCTTGGTAATAGTATTAGAAAGAATATGTTTTTCCCCAATAATTCTTAGTAAAGAACTTCGAGATAAAATTTATAATTCTTTAACAAAATTTGTTGAAATTCATCGAAAGACAACACAAGTTATTGAAATAGGAATTGATAATAATTTTAGATCAAGTTTCAATCAATTTAATCAACAAAAGGATAATAATAATAATGATAATAATATCATTAATAAGCGTAATTATAATATTGATTTTTTATTAGTTCACTTAAGAGATACATTACATAGCCTTCGTGATGATGAAACTTGGTTTCAGGAAATTTTAAGAAGGACAAAAGATATATTAAAAGCTTTATTAAATATTAGTCCAGGAGTATTATCGATTGTGGCACCTGGAATTACCATTTCAAATGATAGTTCAATACTTCAAATGCTTTCTCAATTACGTCAAGGTTTAACCTTCAAATATCCAGTAGCTTCTTATTATGTAGATTGGAGAATTATGTTAATAATTCAACATAATGTTATTAATTGGTCAGAAAGTGATAAAAATATAATTAGTAAAAAATTCGGAGAAATGATTATAATGGAACATTTATGGAGTTATTTGGAAAGAGAATGGATTAATATTTTTGATAAAACCATGTTAGATTCTCAAACAAAATTTGATGAAGTATCAAATAAACTCAATAAAGCATTAATAAATACAGGAAATTTTTTAAATGATCTTATTAATGGAAGTGAACCTCTTGCATTACCAGATACATTATGGTTTGGAATTTTAGATCTTGCACAAAATCTTATTCAAAGGTCCACTCATACGGCTACATATGGTCTTTGTTATTATTTAGCAATTGAATCACTTAATATGGCACCAAGTAGTTTCATTCAATTTAAGGCAATTGAAATATTATTATACTTGAATAATATTAATAATGAATTATTTTCGATGATAGAAATTGATTTTAATCAATATGCAGCAAAATTGGATAAAAATGATTCATTAATAAAATTTCAAAATTTATTAATATTTGTTAAAGAAAAATGTCAACAAGATTTTAATTTATTAAATGGTGATATATTATTAGGAAAAGGAAAAGGAAAAAGTTTGGAACAAAATACAATATTTAAAAAAGAAGAAATATTACCTTCAACAATTTTAGATATTATAGCAAATGAAATAACATGTCCAATTAGTAATGAACCAACAAATCAATTATGTATATTAAAATGTCAACATGTATTATCATTAAATAATTTAAAAAAATTAAAACAAAAGAAATGTCCAAAATGTAGAGAAAAAGTTGAAGATAATGATATTAGATATTTACCACAAAATGCTATATATAAAAATTTATATTCTTATCTTTATGATGCTGGATATATTTTACCTTCAATTGAATTTGAAGATTCATCAAATAATCTATATGAGAATGATTCTAATAATTCAGAAGTTGATCTTATGTTAACTAAAAATAAGAAATTGATTAAAGAAATAAAACTTAATTCAAATAGATTTACATTAATACAATCAATATTTCAAATTACAAAATCAAAAAATTTAACTTATCAGGAAGTTATAAAAGTATTAGAAGAAAAAAAATATGGAAAAGCTGTATTAATATGTAAAAAATATTTAGGAAATTTTCCTAGAAGTTATACTATGAGATGTATTTTAGCTTATGCTTATAGAAATCTTAACAGTTATAAATTAGCTTTTTTATACTTAAATGAAGCTATTAAATTAAAAAGAAAAAATCCAATTGCATATTGTATTCGTGGAGAAATTTTTTTCAAACAAAGTATATATGAATATGCAATATTTGATTTAAATATCTCAATATCATATAAGCTTAAAGTAAATAATGTATATATATTATTAGGTAATAGCAATTTACTTGAAGGAGAAAAGTCTCAAGAAAAAAATGATTATACAATATCATGTTATAATCATGCATTGAAAAATTATAATATTGCATTACAAAATAATCCAAATAATTATATATGTCTTAAGAATTGTGCATATATTTATGAATGTCAAGAAAAGTATTTAAATACTTTAGAAATGTTGGATAAATTATTAGGTATTAATCAGGATGATTCATTATTTTTATGTTATTATGGAGAAATTCTTAATGATTTAAAAAGATATAATGAATCATTAATAATTTTTACAAAAGCATCTAATTTAGATCCTGAAAATATTCATATTTTAATTAAACAAGCTATTACTTATTATATTATTCAAAAATATGATTTAGCTTTATTGAATCTTGAAAAAGTTATACGGATGGATCCTTTAAATAGTATAGCATATTATTACAAAGGGTTAACATATTATATGATGGAAAAATATAGTAATGCCATGATTACTTTGGAAAAATTCATGGAATTGGATTTTAATGATGATTTGGCAAATATGTTATTTTATTATTTAAAAGATTTATTGGATGATAACAATTTTGAAAATTGGAATAATGAAATTCTTTTAAAAATCAACCAATTTTCATATATTAATAGTAATAATTTATTACTTCTTATAAGATGTAAAGCATATATTAAATTGAAAAATTATTATGAAGCAAATAGGGATTTAAATAGATTATTTGAATTAAATAATAATATATCATTTATTTATTTATTACAAGAATATTCCGATTTTTGGTCATATTTATGTAATTATCATGGAATAAATAACGAGGAATCTGCAAAATTTGGAATTATTGATGAATTTAATAATTATTTATATAATGGTGAGACCGCAAGAAATGATTATTTTGAAAAAATGAAATTAATTAATTAAATATTTTAATTTATTGAATTATAGAAAAGAAAGTTTACTTGATTTCAAATCTTTTAAATTCTAATAAGAAATTTTCCAAGTTTCTAGAAAACGATTCAGATAGCGGGTAAGATTTTTGTATAGTAATACTTACAATAACTTTAACTAATATAATTAATATAAATTTTAAGAAACCAAAGTTCGTCAGAAAAGGCAATTACTTTTAAAGGTGAAATGCCTTCTATCGGTTTTCCCAAACTTTTCAATAACAAAAAATTATCTTCGCATTTCATAACTTGGAAAATAAATATCAAGAAGATATTATCTGAAGAATGCTTTGTGAAATTCACCATTATAGAGGGAAACGATAACGATGTAAGCGTAACTACTCTTAATTCCGACTTTTTTTATAAATGTTTTATTTAACATATGAATTTAATATAGAACTCGAATACGTTATCGCGTGAACATGTATTAAAATATGATGATATTTTAAAACTTGAAGGAATAGGTTGGATTGAATATACACTTCCATTTTCAATATTAACAGATAACAATATGGAATGGATACAACCTTCAATTGATATGAAAAATCATTCGATCATTATGGTATGCTTTTTTTTTAATGAAAATCAGAATATTACGATTATCGCCGATTCGCCATTATTAATTAATAATTTAATATTCTTAATTAAAGCAAATAGATTATGTTCAATTCGTAACATCTGAAAGACAAACGATTTATGCTACTAAAATGGGACATTTCTTACCAATACATAAATTATATCCAAATATTCCAGAAGCTTTTAAGGATAAGTATTTTTCAAAGAAAGAAATGGAGAATTTGATTAATTTGAAAGACATAATTAATAATTAGCAGAAATATATTAAGGATTATTAATTTGTTATATATTATTTAATTTATAAAATACCGCATAATCAATTTATTAAACTTAAATAAAATATATCGATATTCTTTATGACCATTTATAAATAAATACCGTATTTTGCGTCACAGAATCCCCCCATGTCACAGTACCCTGCAAAAAACAAGTAGGAAATCTCATTACATCCCAGGTGCTACATGTATAAGACCTCAATTGTCCTCCATTACTAATAAAAACTGAGGGTCAACCCCGAAATTTGTATCATACCCGGGGTACCATTGTCCCCCTTATACAGTACTTAACAATTGCTAATCGAATTGCTCGATTCGTCAAATAATAATTAAATCATGTCTAACCTAACTCAACCTAAAATCACAAAATAATAATAACGTGATTTTTTTACACTCCATCACCGGCGTCACCCCGTGTTAAATAACCACGGCGCTTCAGCTTATTAATTTACCCGATAAAGTAATATACATCATTTTTTGGAATATGACATTATGTCATATTACTGGAAAAACTATTTAATTTATAATCTAATAAATTCATGAATTAAAAAAAATCGTTCATGTTTCTTTCTCGTTAATAAATTCACAAAAAATTATTATTCAACTTTTATTTTTTTACTTTAACCTATTAAAATATGTCGTCGTCATACAAAATGAAAAGAGGAAGTAGTTATAGAGGAAAAGGTAGAGCAAACCGAACAGAATCTTATCGACCTTGGAACGCCGCCGCGCTTGGTAAACCTATCTCAGAACCAACATATGACCCTGGATCTTATACTTCTTTTGATGCAACATATGATCCTGGATCTTATACTTCTTTTGATGCAATGGATATTGATGAATATCAAATATTTGAAATTGATCATACCCAATTTCGTCCTTGGAACGCTGCTTCCTTAAATAAAATCGATATTATTAAAAATGGATCTTCAGTAAGTATTTACATGTCGAATATCAATTCTTTTTGTATTTATTGATATTTCAATTATTATTATATTTTTTTTTTTTAGGAAATTACTTCTGTACCTAATCAACTGGTAAAGTTACAGTATTTTATTATAATAAGCCTCTCTTATTTTTCATCGAGAGATTGATTTTATAATTTATATTTATTTTATCATAGTCTATTCTCTCTCCGGAACAATCAAATCAAAATAATTTTTGGTATCAACCTACTTTTCAACATCAAAACAATTCATCATATAGTGCAATTGAAGATTTAAAACAAATTAATTGGGATGATTTTACCAAACAAATGATGTTAGAAGAATCCAGGATTACAAAAATTCAAAATTTAAATCAAAACGTAAATAATGATCGTGATCGAACTTTTGAAAATTTTTTTAAATTTTAAAAAGTTTAACATAAAAAAATTTTTGATTTTTTTTTTTTTTTTGCAATTTCTTTTTTTTTTTCTAGTCTTCTACTTTTGATAAAACGATATTAGATGAATTTGATCCATTGTAATTTTCAGGAAAAGTGATCGCTATTAACATCTATCGAAGATCTTAATCGCTTTTTTTTTTATATGTAATAATTCGTTAATTTTATTCCTAATAAAATAATATATTCATTATACTGTATTATACGAGCGAACGTGTTATAATCTGTCGATCAAAATAGATCATTGCGTAATTGTGTTACATTGTTCAAATAATATCATTATACCGCTTTTTTTCTTTTTTTTTTTAATTTGATAATCTTTTTTCTCTTATTAAAAATGTCGCAAACGAAAGATAATGTTCGAATGAGAGATAGGGCTGAAACTGAAGAGGAACTTTTAAAACTTCAAGAAGAATTTTTGGCGAATAAACCGAAAGCTGCTGCGACTGTGATTAGAAAAAGTAAACCACCTACTGTTATATCCTCTTCGTCTCAATTTGAGAACAATAATGTTAATGTCGTTGAAAAAGATATAGTCACTTTGGATGATAATGTAAAAACATCATCAAATTCAATAAAAGGAAAAACTAAAAGTAAGAAAAAGAAATCATTATTATCTTCTAACCGAAAAAAATCACTTGAAAGTGATGGTGGCGCACAAAGATTTGAAATTGATTTAGATCAAGAGATTGAAAATACCACAGAACAAGAAGAACATGTACCCGCAGTAAAAAAAGTATTAGATATGCATTCTTATCAAACGGGAGCTGTTGGAATGGTTACTGAAAAATTTGCAACTGAACCCGTATTACCGCCTAATATTACTAATAATAATGATACATCATCAGATGGGGGATTTCCCAAACCTGTTCATCGAAGTTTATTTAAACGAAGAAGACAGGCTTTAGATGAAGAATCAAAATCAAACATAGATAATTTGCAAAATCAACAAATCAATAATGAAAATACAACAAAAGATATTAAAAATTTACCTACAACAACAGCTGTTTCATCAACATCATTAAATACTTTAAATAAAGATACTAAAATATTTAATTCAGATTATTTGGAAATTGATCGTGAAAATGTTGAGAAAATTTCAAACATGTCTGAAGAAGAAATATTAAAAACTGTTGAAATGCTACGTCAAACTTTAAGTCCTAAATTAGTAGAAAAACTTTCAAAAAATAAGCCTTTGGTCGAAAGGATACCCGAGGAATCAAATGAAGGATTTAATGGTACAGAGGAAAAAGAAATTAAGCACGTACATTTTGAAGAGAATAAGATGAACTATGAAGAAGAAGATGATGATTCATTACCGCTTAAAATGAAGGAAAAATATTTTCCAAACGTACCAATCGAACCTGAAAAAATTGAATGGATGGGCGTTGAGTTCAAAAAAGATGAATCAACAACGACTAAAGATCAAGGTATGGTTAAAGATTATTCTAGCCCATATATCCCTAAATCATCAGATCCACCTGCCGCATTTTATAGATTTGATTTTCATGGGAATATTATGGAGAAGGATGCAGACGTTCCTACTTATATGGGTCTTCATCATCATGGGGATAATCCTGATCAAGCTGGGTATACATCGAGTGAACTGCTTCATTTGTCAAGAAGCAGAGTTTCAAGTCAAAGAATTATACCTTTAAATGTTATTGGTAGAATTATGAGAAAGGTTAGGAAAGGACATTATGGAATTGAGAAATGTAAGGGAATTACCGAATGGATGATTAAAATGAAGTTGCCTATATATTTGAGAACAGCATTAGATGATACAGCAGAATCAGTAATTGTAGCTGCTGTTGATGCGATATCTGCCTTGATTATCGGCGGGACAGAAGGTTTAGATGTTGAGGAAGAAATTTGGGATCGTTCTGGTAGATTATATCGTGGATACGAAAGCGTTGCTCTTCAGGATGTTCCTGAAACCAAAGTCAAGAAACATTTTGGAATGGATATTGCTTTACAAGATGAAAACGAAGAAGACGTGAATACAACCGAGTATCATGTTAGACTCGCATCAAAAGACTTAATTGCAGGCTTAATTTCGATGGATATTCTATATCGATTTCGTTATCTTTTGGAAAAATTGAGATTACCATATATTACAAACGAACAAATCATTTTAATGCTTATTCGTTTCGCACGCCATTCTCATAAAAGTGCAATGTTTATATTTGAATGTCCTCAGCTTGTTGATGTCATACATAAAAAATTTTTGTGTGTAGCTTGGCCTGTCATATATAATAATGGTGATGATGCACTCTCACAATTTCCAAGTTTGTCAGCCGTGAAACTTTTCCGTTTACTATGCCAATCATCTGGAAAAATTAGTCAAAGTATTATCCAAAATTATATCGAGACGTTTTTAAGATATATTGTAGTAAATCCTTCAACCATATCGAATGAATTTGAGATGAATCTTGGTTACAAAATTTTACAAGAAACTTTGAGAATTTATCAAACTCTTGCGGCACATGGACTTTATCATGGAATTCTTTCTCAAGCATATTCGGTTTTCGGTGGATATTTATCGAAGGAAATAATATATTCTCTTTCTCCTCCATGGCAATGGAAAGGTGACAATATTCCACAAATGAAGCATAAACTAGATATTGCTATATCATTCTTCAGACTTTTGGAGATTTGGATTCGGACCTCTAAAAAAGATACTGGTACAGATGTTGAATCTGGGGCTCAACCAAGTGAATTTATTAATGACTCGGTAGAATTAATGGATAAGTTCGTTAGTTCATTTCCATTTGAAATTGATAATAAGATTGAAAATTCTAGAGAATTTGAAAAAGCTCTAATTTTGATTTCAAGTATAGCAAGATATATTGCGTCTTGGTATCAATATTTAGGTGATTATCCATTAAAAGATACCAGTCAGATTAAGAAAATATGGGAAAGATTAAAGTTTGATTCGTGGCAATCCTCAAAAATTGGTATATATCTATCAAATCGTTTGCCAGCCTGTTTGAACGCTTATTATGTTTCTAAGAAAGACATTTGGCAATTATCCAATTTACCTGGTGCTTATTACCCCATTACATTCGAGCATATTTCAAAATCTATAACAATGTCGGTGTTATATGATTTGTACTTGTCTTACATATCCTTGATTCATCAAATAAGTAATTTATTTTCAGGCGACAAGGAATTTTCTATTAATTCATTAAGCGTTATTACAACATTTGTTCCTATAGATCTCATAAAACATCACATTATTAAGTTCCCACCTAAAAGAAACTGGCTTGATTTTTTTGATAGAACACGCACTTATTTATTATATGAATGGATGTGTGCTATTAGTTCGCTTATTGATAAAATAGGTGATGATAAGTTTCAATCACAATTTTCAAAGAAACTATTGCAGGTAGCATTGATTATAATGTCACATTTGTTGCCTGGGGACGAAAATATCAGTTTAAATATACTTAATAGAATATTTGATGGAATAACGGCTTTGTCACCAGATCCTAAAAGAGCCGAAGGAATCAAGAAATCGCTTAGGTCTTTTTATAAGAATCGTATTATTACAAGCAATACTAAAGAAGAAATATATTCTTTTTCGGGACAACAAGAAGAGGATCCCACCTTATTATGGAATTTGACAAGAAATAATAGTCATGGCGGATTACCTTTATCAAGAGCATGGGTATGGACTCCGATTGACGTATTATATAGTAAGAGATCAGATGTTATAATGGATGAAGAGGTTAGATTTGAAGTTGTAAGAGATTGTTTAGAATTTGGATGGGAAATTATGGAAACATGTCAAGACGTTGCAAGGTCAAGTGACGTTATTGATCGTAATGTTGAAAGATTGGTTATGAATCCCGCAATTGTTGTACTATCAATTATGAAGATTTTCTTGTTAGAAGGGGAATTATATAGGAATTCTAATATTGAAGTGTGGATTGATAGAATTCTTTCACGATATACATTTGGGTATGGGTCAGAAAAAGAACGAGACGCGATTGTAGATTTACCAGAAGATTCTTATTCGCTCGAAGATGCAGCTAAAGATGTTTTGACAGTACCGTTTTATACGTTTTTTACGGATTTTTCTGCTATATACGCAGCTGAATCATTTGGACACAAATCTTTTGCACAATGTATAATTGTTCCTTTATCAACAATTTATCCTTTCGATTTTAAATTGTTAGTATGGGGTGATTTATTTGAGGTTTTAGGTACGATTAATATTAAATATGAAGAAGTAATATGTTTAAATCCTTCATTTAATGAAGGATTAAATAGTTATTTTTGGCCTTTGGAAAATAATAAAGCGTTGATACAATCGTATGTAAATTCTATTATACATCTTAAATTGACAAGTGAAAAAACTCCATTCTTATATTGGATTGTCATACATCACTTGAATGGATTCGTATTTTGGAATATTCAAGAAGGAGAAAATCAAGATGAAATTAAGAAAGATCATGGTAAAGTTCAAATGAGGATTGATATTGCAAAAGCGATTGTTAAAGGAGCAAAATCTGATATAGTAAAAGATTGGATAAGGTATACCGAAAAGAATTTTGGTGATGATGTAAAGGAATTGATGAAAATGCCACAATGTTTTAAAGACTTAGATGATTTAAAATTAAAGAGTAGGTTAGAATGGTTGAATAACGTTAATATTAATATTGATGAAAATTTAATTTATTAATCGTTAACGATACTTACAAAAAAAAAAAAAAATTAGAATAATGCTGTAATATTATTTTCTTGATCATGTAAAGAATTTATTATTTAATCTAGATGAAAGGATTTTAATAAAGAAAAGAAAGAATTTATTTGCAATCTTTTTTTTTTTTTTTTTTTTTTTGAAAAGATATTTTTCAGTTTTATTGAAGAAAAAAAAACAAATCTAGAAACAATTGTATATAAAATGTAATATATAAACAAGCAAGAAAAAATGAAAATAAATAAATAAATTAAAGAAAAAATGCGTGAGGAAGAATTATTAAAAAAAATAAAATGTACACAAATGAAACATCTATAAACGAAAATATGTATGATGAGGAAATAATAGGAGGAATTAGATGGTGATATTTGTTTTGATCAAGTGTGTAATTTTTTAATTTTTTTTAAAAGAGGATGATGAGCGGAATTTATGATGGATTCTTTTTTTTATTTTAAAGGGTAATTGATCAAATGATCAAATTTTTTAACAATATACATTATTTCTCAAAAACAACATATTTCAAGACTTTTTGAGACGATTATCCGAACAATAGTCTGGAGATCAAATACAAGACACTACCGAATGCCCTAAATGCTGATAAAGCAGCGACGGACCAGAAAACTAACAAAAAAAAAATATGTATATAATTAATTAATAAATAATAATAATAATAAAAATAAAAAAATCATAATTATTCATGTAAACATATATACTTACCAAATGTCAAATAAGGATTATACGAAGAATCAATAGAATTTCTCTTAATATATTCATTCCAAGTATTAGAAGTAAAGAAAACAATTAAAACGGCATTTGAAAACATCCAAGATAACACAAGATTGGTTCTGAATAATTTATAATAATCATCTTTTTTGGTAGCAGCATCTCTATGTTCTTTAACTTCATATTGTTTAACTTTTAATTCACCAACCAAATTATCATAAATAGCGTTGATGTCTTGTCTTTCAGTTGGAACTTGAACTTGCATTAATTTTTTACCATCTTTACCATCAACAGGTTGAGCTCCATTACCACCACCAGAATTACCATTGTCACCTTTTGTACCCCAAGAAACATCATGAGTATTACAAAATGCGTAAACCATTAAAATATTAACATAAAATGGTACTAATAAAATATATTGTACTAAACATGTGATCATGTGCCATGGTTCCCCATGAATCAAACTAGTAAATATATAAAGACCATAAGTTGAAGCTAATGAAATCACTATATCCCTAAATTGTGCCGTATCAAGCGCTTTTTTTATATTGGCGAATGAATTAAATTTAATATTTTTCGCTTGTTGTAATGATAAATATACGGTATATCCTGCACAATATAACATTGTAGCCATAATAATAGCGAATAAAATAATACATCCTGTATACATCCATTTTGAACCTTGAGGACGATTTCCCATTGAACTAATAAAAATTGTGACAATAACCATAATATAAAGTGATCTAGCTACATCAAATAAGTTACTACCATAACCTTTAAATGGATCAGTAGCCGGATTTGCTGTTGTAGCAGAAGTCAAGAAAAAGAAAGCCAAATAAAAGTTTCCTAAAGCAAACCAATTGAATAATAATTGAATAGCATTATAAATGAATTCAATTGCAAGTAATATTTGACGATAAAATGGTTGTCCTGAACTAAAAATACGTGTAAAATGAGCGATTGAATAAAATGCTGCGAAGAAAGATCCATTTAACCATCTACGACGTTGAGAGATAAATTCAGGTACGTTATCAGGTACATCAGTTTCAGCTTTTGCGGATTTTACATATTTTAATTTCCATGCTTCATGTTTTTTGGTTACTAATTCAAAACATAAAATACGATCTTCTGCTAAATACATATTTGCTTCAAATATACCAGCATCTCCACTACCATGCAATTTTTCTCCCTTAAAATATGATGCTAAAGGTCCTTTATCAGGAGATGAATTTTGTAATGCTTTATAACGATAAGCTGAGAAAGCTCCAGGTAATACTGAAATATAACCAAATACTGATTCTAACGGTTTATCCAAAATATTTGACATCTTATATTCGAAATTTTGTGATGCTACCATTGGATTAAGTAAATTTTTCCAACCTTTTCCAAGTTCTGCTTTAATTTCACCACAAGCACCTCCAATATTAGGTTCTCTATCAAAAGCTTTCCATAAATGATAAATTGATGTATTTGATGGTTTTGTACCAACATCCAATAAAACACATACATTTGGATTTAATTGTGCAGCAAAAGCGTTAAAGAACCATCTATGACTATTTAATTTTTTGGCATTTTTCTCTTTTAAACAAAATAATATTTGAACAGGTGGAATTGATCTATCGGAACCTCTTATATCAAAACTTGAATCTACCATCAATTGTGATGTATATTCAAATAAATGACCCGTAACAGGTTTACCTGCTACATCATCTTGCATGATTCCATCTTGATAAACACCCATTGCTCCAAGTACTTTAAGAACTCTTTTATTAACTTTATTACGTCCATCAGCTACTACAACAACTACAACTTTTTTCCAACCTTCTTCACCCCAAGTTTTTGATCGACCTCGAGTACATAAATGAGCAACATTTTTGATGGCTGATGACATTGTCTTAATGAATAATTTATCATCTTCATTGTACATTGTCATTACGATCATTAATTCAGTAGTTCTGTTATAAAGATAAGGTCTTAAAAAATATCCATTTTGAACAAAAGCGTCTGGATCACACGTTACTGCTGTATATCTCATATGTGTATATTCTTCTCCTGATGTATATTTAACGTTCTTAAGAACTTTATCTGGTACTGGACAATCCAATATCAAATTTCCGTTTGTTAATTCTACATGACGAACGGACTAATATACCGAAGATAAGGAAGAAAGAAAAAATAAATTAATAAAAATAAATATAAACACGTGATGAATTAATACTTTGGGCACGAACTTACTCTTCTTTTATTGGCTTTTTCATTAAAATCCAAAGCTTCATGATCATTCCATTGACCATATTGAGCATTATTATAACTTTCTTGACCAACTAAAGGAGCTTTATCATAATAATAATCATTAGATTCAGGAGGCGCCTCATAATAATCATTATATTGATTAGCGGGTGGATAAGGAGGAGCATTATAAGAAGTAGGGGAAACTTGACGTTGAAGTGGCATAGTTTGTTGTCTTTGAGGAGGAGAATTGAAATCTACACCACGAGTATTATTATTGTAGGCATTTTTCGGATGTGAAGGAAGTCCTCTTGGTACATTATCAAACGTTCGTTGACGTTGAGGGGGAGCATAATTATTATTATTATTATTCGGATAATAATCTGGATAACCTGACATATTGTATTATATTATTAATACTAAAAAGAAGATTATATTAACACTAGAATTATAATTAATAAATTTGTTTTTTATCTACAAACTATAAAAAATTGGTCAAGGAAAAACTGGAAAAACTGCCAGAGAGATTCCAAAAAAAAAAAAAAAAATTATATATATAAATTTCAGGGGAATAGTATTGAAAAGGATAATTTAAAAAGGAAAGGAGTAGACCAATTATGGTAATATTAGAGAGAAGGATATCCTTCACTCTACAGGTGAGGAAAGAAAGTAAAGAGACGATGGAGGGAGGAGGTAAGAGAGAGTGAAGTTTATTAAAGGAAAATGGGGGAAGAGGGAAAAGAGAACAAAAATAAAAAAAAAAAAATAATCCGGCCGATTAATCTGCATTAGAGCCTATGACAATAATTATTATTTTGTGTCACAAATTATTTTCTTTTTCGTATTAGGATTATAACCGAACGTCTAATTCGGCAATAAACGACCTTGTTGATTAATTGTGAAGACCTAAAAACGGTTAAAATGCATAATTCTAGATATACATAATATATTCCCACTTTAATTCTATTCGGCTTATACTGTTTATATTAATTTTATTTAAAAGTATCACCTGAATTAAATTTACGTCTTACAGAGTTTCACTAAGACGAAAAGAGTTTCGGAGCTTTTTGAAGTGTGTTTGATAAATGCATTTTTAATTATAAAATGAATATTAAATTATAAATAAATAATTTATATTGTACTTTGATATATTATTTTATTTATTAAATATTTAAAAAAAAAGGATTTTTCTGAAAAGAATTATAAAATATTACTTCACGCACATAAAATTAATTTATTTTTTGTAATACATTAATGAGTGAAGTCATTGGTCTTGGCATAATTGGCATATGGTAATTTTTAAATTGTTGACCAACGTTGTCATAATTTCATGAGATAATTTCTCGATAAGAATTACTGTACTAGGAATGCCAAGATATTTAACTAGTCAAATTCTATTACAAATCTTTATTTTTCTTAATTGAAGAACTAATCACCAAAAATCCATATATTCACAGTATTAAAATTTATTTCTCGGTAAAAAAAAAGTATTACATTTATGCTTTATCAATATTTCCAAATTGCGCAACATTAATAAAGTTTAGCATGCATGTTAGATACAACTGTTTGTAGATTCATGTGGTTACGAAATTGCTTTTCCTAATTAAGATTAAAAAGGTGTGATTTTTTCGTGGCACAGTATTAAAAGTATTAAAAGTATTAACCTATTATCCGGCATAAATGGTAAAACAAGGGTACAATGAAACAAAGCATGTAAAAATTGAGGCAAGTATATAATGTTGCGCAAATTAAGGTTTAATGTGATAAATTTAATTGGAGAGATCTGCTTGCATGGCTGCCCTATAGTTCGAGTTTGACCATAACAGATCCTAATTGGTACAATACGCCTTCGCTTTACATGGTCTAACTATTTTAATTGATGAATACTTTTTAATTTCGGGATTCAAATTTTCTAAATTTTTTCAAAATGCGTTTAGGGGAAATCCCCGTGATCCCGTGTTGTAGGCGGAAGAATTATAGTTTAATTCTAGAAAATCTTTGGTTCTGAAAAATAAAAAATAGCATCCAGCTTTTCCCTATAGTCTGGAAAGTTATTTGAAAAGACAAAGATATTATAGTTTTTTTTTTTGTTCTTTCTTTAAATTCCTCTTTTTCTTTTATTACGGTAAATTATTATACAATCTGAAAAAAACAATTCTTTCTTGTTTTTTTTTTTTAAAAAAAAAAAATTGGTATCCTTTTATCAATTTCATAATAACTCTTGTGAATTTGAAGGGTAAAACTATTTTTCTTTTCGCTTTTCTTTTTCTTAGTTTGTTTCGTATTTCATTTAAATTTATTTCTACTACTAAATGAGTGAGGATGAGCGGTGATAAACAAAGTATAAAAAGAATTTGGTGAGTATACACATGGGCGAATTAACATAGTAATTAGGCAATACATGCCGAGTTAATTTAGTGAATTAACATAGTTCCGAATTGAACCAAATTTGTCATTTCGGCAATTTTGTTGGTGTGACATATTATACATGACACAAACTATGCTAATCACGTGAAGGCGAGATAGGTAGTTATATGAATATAAGAATCTCCTTTTTCATTAGTAATTCTAAAAAATAAAAATAATCCCAATTTCTTATTTCGAATTTTTAATTTTAACCCATCACACCATTTTTTTCACGATAAAGATTACAAGGACGAGCTATTCGTAAGCCATCACACCATGACACCACATTTGACAAACTATGCTAATCACGTGAAGGAGAGAGAGGTAGTTATTTGAGGTGAGTGGTATAAATATAAGAATCTCCTTTTTCATTAGTAATTTTTAAAAAATAAAAATAATCACAATTTCTTATTTTAAATTTTTAATTTTAACCCATCACACCATTTTTTTTTCACGATAAAAATTACAATGACGAACTATTCGTAAGACATCACACCATTTATTTATTTATTTATTTTATGGCTAGTCAGCGTAAGACATCACACCATGACACCATGACAACAAAACTATGCTAGTCACGTGAAGGAGAGAGAGAGTTATATGGGGTGAGTGGTATAAACATAAGAATTTCCTTTTTAATTAGTAATTATAAAGAATAAAAATAATATCAATTTCTTATTTTAAATTTTTAGTTTATATTTAATATTGTTATATGGCAATAAAATAGTATACGATATGTTAAATATATATTATAATAGATGATTTTATAGTGTACTTAACAAAGGTAAAAATTACCAGAAGTAATTTTTTAACAATATTATTTTGTTCTTCATCATAAATTTATAATAATATACACAATTTATTAAATAAAGTGTGAACGCTGCGCCTCTTTAAAAGTGTTCTTATTCCCCCTTCAAAAATCATTTGATCAATTCAATTACTTTGATACAAAAAGTACAATATCACTTTATTTTTATTAATTTTTTTTTGCGGGGGATTTTACGGGGGATGTAGATTTGTTCATAATAAGTCGTCAATTAATTAATCTCAGCAATAATTTTATAGGTAATAAGTCAATCATTGTTTAAAATAGAAATTATAATAAAAAAATCACCAATAATAAATTCTAACATATAAAATTATCATGCATATGATAATTCAAAATTTTCAATTTACAACCACAAAAAAGCATCCGTTAATAAAGGTCTTTTTCAAAAAAAGTTTCATATTGCAAAAAAAAGGGGTATTGATTGTCATTTAATCGTATGATATAACAAGCCAAGTCTTTTTACTTCACGCATGAATTAAACCATTTTTTATAAAAGAGTCGACTCTTTAAGAAGATCAATAATTTTATCCTTTTCACAAAAAAAAAAAAAAAAAAAGATTTGCTTTAATAACACTAAAGTTTAAAAAACATTTTTTTTCTTTTTTTTTTTCATAAATTCATAAACCAACCAATTGAACATGTTTCAATTAAAAATGAAAATCATCGTAATTACAGCTATTATTGCAATTTTGGCTTTCGCCACCCTTTCTTCCTCTTTAGTTATTAGACAAGAAAATTCAGATGATATTGCCACAATTCGTAAAGCTAATGCTGATGAAGCCGAAAAATTACAAGAGGAATTCGCATCATTTACCCCGGATAAAGATTGTCAAGTTAATGATTTAGCCTGTATTAATAAAGATTTTGCTATGTGTGCTCCAACAATAGAAGATGGCAAAGTTGTCAATAAATTCGTACTTTTCCCTTGTGGTACTACTTTGGAATGTTTCGCATTACCTTTAGTTCTTAAACGTGGCACTTCCATCACTTGTAGTAAGTAACAAAAATCTTAATTCGTTTAATTTCTTTTTTTTGATTATAATTAATAAAATATTATTATTTGCTTTTATTAATAGCAACACCAAAAGACCGTGAAGACCGTCTTTTCCAAGCACGCAATAACTTATAAGTGTTAATAAACAATAACCTACTATAATAAATATAATGTATTAAATATCTTGAATTTTAATCATAATTTTACTTAAATTTATTCTATGTTGCAAGCATCATAAAATAAAGTATAACTTTCATGAAAAATTAACTTTTAAAAATTGAAAATTAAGTAATAATAAATAATTTTACTTCGACGCGAAGTTAAACGAACTTTATTACTTCAATGCAAAGTTAAACAAACTTCCTTACGATAAATTTTACTACTTACTCTAATTAATTTTACTGGGAATCATTCATAATAATCATAATAAAATGAAACTAATGCTTTAAATTTCATTAATTTTCTTTACGGCATATTTTTGATGTACAATCAAACATACGAAATTTTCGCACATCTAAATTATCGGCCCATGTACATATTTAATTTTACTAGCAAAAGAAAAATCACGTGTTCTAAACGTCAATTTTAAATTTTTATTCATTTTCGATTTTTAACAGTGAAATATTTTAATTTATTAAAATTATTTTATTTTTAGATGAATACGCTACAAACCCAATATTCATTTAAAATTCACTAGAAATAGGTAGATATTCCAATTTATCTAAAATCTCTAGTAAAAAAAATGCGACAGCGTATGATAATCGGTTTTAGGTTAGAATACAATAATACAAATGACCATCAGTATTCTGAAGTTATCCTTATTAATAATTCCTTTTATTGGATAGTTAAAATTATAAATTTATATAACAAATCTAACGAAATTTCTTAACTTAATAATGATTAGAGACATACTAATTCCTTTCATTTAAGGATTGAAATCGATTATCGAATCTTTTTTTTTTTTTTTCCATAGACGGTCAGCCTGGCGTCAAAAATCTGTTCCCGATTTTAGCAAAATGATCAGCGCTACAATGCCGCTACATGTTGAATCGAATCGATTTTACTATTTTTTTTCAGAATCGGTTCCAATCCCTACTTTCATTTAATAATAATCATCTTCAATTATATAATTTTCTAATAAAAATAAAACAATGATGATAAGTAAAAGGAAATACAATATTCTTTTTTTTCGTAATTCGTATATAGATGTATTTTTTTTTTATACATACCTAAAGAGTCATTATCATCAATATTATCATCTAAAATTTCAATTTTATCACTTAATTCATTTTGTGCCAAAATTTCATTAATTTTATTTGTATAATCTATCTTCCTACTAATATAATAGGCTTCGGGATGATAAATTACTTCTGATTCATTTTCTATCAAATAATTATTATTAATAAATAAAATAAAATAAATATATTCTGAAATCAAGAAAAAAAAAAAAAACTTTATACCTGGAACTGGTTTTCTTTTTTCTTCATCTAATTCGATTGGAAATTTGTCGGACCATTTTTCAAATATTTTTGATAATTCATCTGCTGTTGGTCTTTTATCAGGATTATTATTCCAACATCTATTCATTAATTTTACATATTCAGGCATAGTTCCTTTCACGATTTTTGGTCTAAAACCTTCACAAATTTCCAACGATAAACTCAAATCATGAGTAATATTATGAAATGCAGAAATCCCCGATACCATTTCCCACATAATAATACCAAAACTATAAATATCCGCAGCTTTTGTATATGGTTTACCACGTAAAACTTCAGGTGCTATATAAGGAAGAACACCAAATACATCATCACTCGCAACAGATTCAACAGGTCTACATAATCCAAAATCACTAATTAATCCATATTCATAATTAAAAAAAAGAATATTCCCATTATGAAAATCTCCATGAATTAAATCTAATTTATGAATAGCGTTAAGCTGTCTTGAAATATTAAACAAATTAGTAAATTTATCATTTGGATTATATTTTTTAATTTTTAAATTACTTTTTAAACTACCGAGTGGCGCAAGAAACATTATGATCATATAATTTAATGTATCAGGATCCTGTGTTATACCAACTATTTGAATAAATGGGGTCGTATCATTCATTGATTTATGAATACCTTTTAACCATGTTTCCCACTAAATAAATAATAAATATTATTACTCATTTTAATATTTTAATAATAAAAGATTTAATATTTTGTTTACCTCATATAAAAAATCTTCACTAATATCGGACGAATTATCTAAGCTTTTAAAAACTACGGGAATACCACTATCAGGATGGTCGGGATTATCAATAAGATGAACTTGTCTACACCATTGTTGATTTTCATAATCCCATTTTTCTATCGCACCGTCCAACCATATTGCTTCAAATACCGTACTAAATCCACCTTGAGCTAAAAATTTAATATCTTTAAATCGATTATATGGAATCCATTCCATAACTTCATTATTATTTCTTGCTTGTAATTGACTTCTTTGAATAAAATTATCAATAAATTTATTTCCGCTCGTCCAATTTGAAAAATCTTTTTGAAATCTTTGAGAATTACATTCTTGACACCAATATTTATAAGTATTTGTTTTACCACATTCTAAACAATTATCAAATAATTTAAACATATTAGACATTTCATATGGATCTATTCCTTTTGTATTAAAATTTCCATTTTTTTTGTAATAATCTATAATTACATCTTTATTTAATTTTCCAATTGTAAAGAATTTAGAATAATTTTCAATTATTTTTTCCATTTGTTTAATAATATCATCATCATCTTTTTTATTATTAATGGTTTTATCATTTGTTGAAACGTTAATATCATTAATATCATCATTTTTATCATTTTCTTCATTTTTTGGAACTTTAGATGAACTTTTCTTTTTAAATAAAAATTTAAATATTTTATTTTTTAATATTTTCATGATATTAAATGAATGAATTGAAGAAAAAAAAAAAATAGGCGAACAAATAAATATATTATTTTGTAAATATCCTAACCGATTTTGTTTTTTTGATTTGACTCTTTGTATAACATTTAGAACATCATACCTATTATTTTAATCGAATATCCTGACAATATTCAGGTTTAAATTAATTGTGAATCCCGGACAAATCCCCGATAGACGTTTGTCTAACACTGGTAATACGTAATACGACTAATACGTATGTAGTCCAGCGGCACCGACAAAAATTTCGCAATCACGTGATCATGGAATTTTTGTCGGTGCTGCTAGCTTCTAGAGCCTAGTTAAGAATATATTACATAATTTCTATTAACTTATTTAAGAATCGAAATCAGAAATATCATACTTTACGTTGTAAATAAACATCGGTAAAAATTCAAGCGAATTAACGAAAAACATTTTGAAAGTCAAACGTATATTTCATTTATAACGAAAAAAAGATAGTTTATTAGCTAAGTAATAATATGAATACATAATCCCAGATACAAAATCCACTAAAAATTAATTATCTGTTCAAAATAAATGCGTAATAATATTATCAAAAATCGATTATTTGATTAATAATCCGTTGAATAATAAATTTAGTACCCGACACATTTCACATTAATAACTATACCCCTTCTATCTACTTGACAAAAATAACATCTATTTCTCTTTGCAAAATTGTGTTGAAAACATTTATTACAGAACCAATCTCCTTTCTTAATTGGATAATTAGACTCAATCGATTGATATTGAGGTTGATAATAACCACCAAAAGAACTGTCATAATATAGGCCATATCCAACATAATTATTAATGGGATTATAATATCCATAAGAAGAATGTACCTGGTGGTTATATAATGACGTTAAATATGGTGTCAATACATTTTTTCCCTGGTGATTATCTAACACATTCTCTTCTTTTACTATTGATTCATATAAAGAAGACTTGACAGTCTGCTCCTCGCTGGTTTGCGAAAAAGAATCTGAAGAAGTGGTTAAATGTTCATCATCTTTTAATTGTAGTTCATCATCTTGCAAATTATCTGTAGTATTGGTACCATTTTGGAAATTAGAAGAAAAACCATTCAACTGTAAATCAACATCTTGTGTTTCAGAATTTATATCAACCAAAGATAAATTACTAGTAGGTGTTTCAGAGGTTGAAGAATTGGTTATTGCACAAGCGGAAAAACGCGTTTTAGGTAATTTCACAATAGGTGAAGAAATCTTTTCAAAGTCTTGCGAGTCTTGCGAGTCTTGCGAATCAATAGTAGTAATCAATTGTATTTCATTTCGTGGAGAATTGGAAGAAGAAACATTCAATTGATCTTGCGGTTCAGAGATTATATTAGATAAAAATGAGTTATCAGCGTGTGTAGTGTGTGTTTCAATGACAGAAGAGTTGGCAGCTGTATAAGTAAAAAATTGTGTTTTTGGTAATCTCACAATAGGAGTAGTCACTTCAAATTCTTGTAAATCAATAACAGAACTAGTCAAATATATTTCATTTTGTATAGAAGTAGTATCCAACTGTAATTCAATTTCTTGTGGATTGGAGATTGTATCAGTCAAAGTTGAATTACTACTAGTAGAGACAGAGGAGTTGTTTATTGCATAAGTAAGAAAATATGATTTAGGTAATTTCACAATAGGTGAAGAAATCTCTCCAAGATCTTGTGAATCAGTAATAGTATTAGTAAGAAATATTTCATTTTCTGAGGAAAGATAAGAAGAATTATTCAAGTGTGATTCAATATCGGTCAAGGATGAATTACTGTAACCATGTAATTTAAAATTTTTTACTGCGCAAGTAAGAAATCGCGTTTTAGGTAATTTGATAATAGGCGTAGAAATCTCTTCAACGAAAGGATTAGGAAATGATTTTGTTTGTGAGAAAGAGTCTACTTTTGGGCTTTCATATTGAACATCATGAAATTCTTCTATTTCATTTACGGCGAGCATAATGTTATCAAACTCTTCAAGTAATTCAATCCTAACAATAATAGGGTCTTGTTTAGTTGCTTTCCTAAATAAGACCTTCCTTAGAAGAGGAATAGAATAAAACAAAATTTTCATTGAAATTTCCTTTTTTTTTCTTTAGATACTCTCCGTTTAATAAAAGAAAAAGTAATTAATCGATAATGGAGAGAAACAAGAAAATCTGAAAACGAATTATATTTATACAATTATTTAACGTAAGGTAAATTACTATTTTGGCTATGTTCCGTATTAAATAACAATAAAACTTTGTATTACAATGATTTAGAGTATACTTAGTATTTTATATTTATGTAATAGATGTAATAGATGTGATGAAATTTCGTGTCAGTTTATTTGTTGTATTGATTGATAAGTACTTATAAGCACTTAAGGTAACGGATGACATCATATTTTACATGCTGCGGGCGATATTTTAAGAAAGTTAGCATGTGTTAATCAAATCCGCTGATCGAAAGAAAAATTGAATTCTGCAAGAACATGCACTAAGAATAATTGGACAGGTCGACAGGTCGTGGGATAAGCCAATCTTAAAACACGAATTATCATTTTGGGATTACAGGTCAAAAACATGGGTACAAACACATTAATTTATATAAAATGTTCAAATCATCGACATCTAAGGTATCTGATGCAACATCTTTATTTTATTATAATTGAAAAAGTAAAAAAAAAAAAAAAAGTTTGAATTTGCACTATATCTATATATACTGATCGCTATTCGATGAATAGATTTTTTTTTTTACTTATATACAGTACATAGTTTTATATTTAAAAAAAAGTTCGATTTAATAGAGTTCGATTGATAAAGTTCGATTGATAAAGTTCTGATTTACAATATTCTTCTTGCACATATTAAAATAATTTTTAATATAATATTAAGGAGATACTATGCCTACGATCACGACCGAGGCCAATCTCTTTCATCCAACTCGAAAATTTTATGACAATTTATACAAATTCTCTCACGTACAGGTTCGCTTACGTAATTGATGTCGTCATTATCATTCACTGTCAAAGAATCATCATCATTATAGATCATATCACATGTACAATTATTTAAATCGACAAGTGAACTAGAATCTGAGTTATAATCTGAACAATTCGTAACAGAATATTCACTCATATCACCTATATAATTTTCATCAAATTCTTCATCAAATTCTTGTTCAGACTCATATTGATCTTGTTCATAATCATAATCTTGACGTGATCCGTAGTCAAATTCATAGTCAAGTTCGTGCCTTTGATTTTGTTGTTGTTGATAGTCCCGGTATTGATCATGTTCTAGACCATAATGTCTTTGTTCTTGTTCTTGATCGAACTCTTCATAATCAAGATAATTATATTCGAATCCATCGAATTCAAATCCTCCTGAATTACGATTATATTTTACGTTTTTATTTGAAGTCGTAACGGCAACATATTGTGCTGGAATTGCAAGAATTGGATCAAGAAGTGTTCTACCAGACGAACATGATGAACAATATATGTTGCCACATCTAAAAAAAGTCATAAGAATTCTATTAGAAATAGGATAAAAGTTTTAAACAAGAAAAAATGAAACCTCACATTCTACAATGATGTTTTCTAAAAAATATTGTGAATTTTCGATTACAAAAACTACAGCATTTTGTCGTATTATCTTCCTAATAAATAAAAAAAAAAACTCATTGGAAAAGGAAAACTTTATAAACAGTTGAAAAAAAGCTGTACATTATTTAAGAAATTACCTTCCAATGATCTTTCACTATTCTATTTCTTGTCATTATCTTAAATACGTCAATCTTTCCCATTAATTTAAAGCAAATCTTCTTTATTTCTTCAAACAAATTTTTCTTCTGGTCTTTCTGCGCCACCTTGGGAGGTGTCGTATCATTAGATACTGCTACCCTTTCCGAAAGGTCTTTTTGCTGTTGACGAATATTAATATTCTCTTCCAACCTTGGAGTGATAGAATTATTTAATGAATCACATGATGAAACGTTTTTGTTCTCTTGCCGATATTGTTTTAAGGAACTTGAGCGAGAAGGAAAGACAATTTCTTCATAAGAAAGATAACTTGATTTATGTTGTTCATTTAGGGATAAAAAATTTGTAGGACGCGTATTTGAAATGGTTTTATTAGTTTCAACATTTTCAATATAGTTTTCTGTATATTTTTGTGGATGAACTTTAATTTTTCGATTTAATAAACGATGCGAATATAACGTTGAGAGGTCCATAATAATTAAAGTTGATGAAAGGGGGAAGAGAAAATTTTTCAGTATGAAATATTTTGGAAAATTGGAAAGCTCTGCATGAAATGCATAAAAAGCATGAAAGGAAAAGTTTTTTGAATTATAATAAGTTAAGATAACTCGTGTGCGAAAAAAACAAATCATTACAGGTTTATTTTATAATAGTTACTACTAATATCAAATTTACCTAATTTGTATATGATTTTCAATTTGTTTATACCGGAGTTTATATGAAACACGTGACAGATGAATTTTATCCGTTAACATTTGCCTTTGAAAGTTTAGTCAATTTACTATTGAATGTGAAAGAAAATTTTTTTACCTTTGTGGTATAAAATAAGGTGAATGATGTTTGTGTTACGGAAAGGTAATACTTTATTACTTTATTAATATTTTCCCAAATCATTGATATTATTATTTGATTCATACAATCCTTTTTTTTTCTAGATTGTGAAAGATATTTGCTGCTAATCTGATGACGAATAATATATTTGGTTACATTAAAAAATATTTTTTATATCGCGGTATAAAAAAATATATATATAAGTATATATTTTCATTATCTTTAAAAAAAGTATCAATAACAAAGATGTTCAATTATTTATGTAAATAAAATAAATAAAAAATATTTATATATAAGCGTATATTTAAAAAAGAGTAAATATAATATTTAATTTGTATATATTATTAAAAAATACAAATATACAAAACGCCCCAACAGGATATTTTTTTAGAACTCTACCCGATATATTATATCCGTATTTACCCATGGTAAATAAAATGATGTATTGTCAACAATTTGATGATGATTGAAGTATTATTGGTGTTATTGTATAAACACTGCGCCGTTTTCATGTATGAATGTGATTTTTTTATTTAATTTAAACAATTTAGTTCAACAAAAAATTTACGTAAAACAGATTAAGAATTATGTAAACATGAGATTTATATATACACATTTTTCATTCTTCAATAGAAAATGGATCAAATACATGAATATCACAAGTTCTGTCTTCGCATACTATATTTGTGACGACCGGATTTCCCTAATAACAAACAGAGTATCAATAACAATTCAGAAGACGTAAATGTTTCTAAACAAATTATTAATTTAATACCTCTGGTTTTTTATTATTTGTTGTATTCGTTCTTGTTATCCCAGTAAACCATATTTTTACTGCCTGATTTTGAGTCTTTAATTTTATATTACCTTTTCTATCTTTGGAATCACCGGTAACTTGTTTCACTTCGACAAATTTGTAGAAACGAACCTTTTTAATTAAAGTCTTTTTCGATCTCTCCTGTATTATAATAAATAAATTAATATCCCAGAAGAAAAATTATTAAATTAAGAAATTTTACGTCTTCCTTTCTTTTACCTGAGATATCTTCCTTTCTTTAATTTGAAATCTGCATAATATATAAACAGGGGATCTTGGTTCATTCACATAGCTATGCCAAAACTCACTTCTATGTAATCCTTCAGGTCTTAAAAGTTGATGCTTTATCTTTTCCCTTCCTATATAACCCTTCTTAATCTTTTGTAAACTTTCATTTTTTTGGTTTTTTAAAGAATCGAATTGTGAATTATCATCATTAATGTCCACCTCTTTCAAAGTGTCAATAGTCGGATGTTTGACTACTTTTTTTCGACCGCTTTTTGATTTTGATGTTGAACTATTTTCGTCTTGCGATGATCTACTATTGCGTACACATGATCTTAGTGCAGAATCATCTCTTTGTATATCCACTATCTTTTCGATATCAAAACTTTTTGTTTCACTTATAGATTGTAAATCTTTATGATCAATATCACTTGAAATAGATGCTTCAGATACAATTTTAGACTTCCTTAACGTGTTTTTATATAATTCGTTAAATTTGAGGTCATCGGATTTATCATCTGTTTCATTCAAGTTGTCCGATTGTCTTTCGCTATCAAGATTGCTTTTTGAAATCATTGTAATATTATGCGGTTGTCGAATTTGTGTATTAATCTCGATGGAACTAGCAGTATCTATTGAAATTGATTTGAAAGAAATTAGAGTTTCGTTTGTGTCACATGAATAATCTTGACTGGTTATACTTTTATTTTGATCTTCAATCGATTTGTTATTGAAATTTTCATTTTTATGATACGAGGATTTGTCTGTTTAAGTACGTGATTTAGAATTTGTCTTTTAATTCAAGCGTGATCTATAAAAAATACTTACCGTTTTTTACTACGTTTTTCTTTGAATTTTTCTTTTTTGAACTTTTATTTTTTTTTGAACCCATTTTCTTTTTTTTTTTTTTTTAAAAAAAACAAATATGATTATTNTAACAAACAATCGTTAGAGAAGGGACTTTATGAACAAACGAAAAAAACAAGTTGAGGTAGTAGGGTATTTATATATGAGCTGTAGATCTTATATTACGTAATTAATTTTTTCCGAAAACGCGTAATAATCTAATCATTTTTGTCATAATCTAGTGATTTTTGTCATAATTACCAACTTAAATAACGAAATATATTTATTTATTGAAGATGATGTATGATGTGTAACATATAATACAAAAAGACACAAAATTTGATTGATAATGAAAAAAAAAATTTTTTTTTTTTGGTGAATATATATATATATATATATATATGTATATCAACTATATAAAGTATATAATATGCTTTTAAAATATTTTACAAAAATTATATATTCCTACGTATTATGAATTCTACCACGATAAAAATAATATTCTTCACCTAATTCACACGACCAAAAAATATTCCTCTTCATTCCACTGTCAAATTCTTTTTTATCTTTTTCTCTAATGTCTTTCCCCATCTTATTATTAAAATTTTTCTTTATCCATGACTCACCTAAAAACTTAACGGGGCAACCACTTGTAATCTTTTTTATAACTTTGCCAGATTTCATTGAAGCTAGTTCAATAATAGTGTTTTGAAATCCTACTATGTAAATATCATTGAAACTAGGTAATAATGAAATTTCATTTGGAGGTAAGGACCATCGTATCGGACGATTGTATTTATACGGTTCACCTTTGTTATTTACTAAATGAGAAACATTACAGATAGTCGCAAGAAACAGATTTGATGGGGATGGTACTTCTATTGGGGTTTTTTGTTTGTTTTCTGAAGAAGTTGGGTTTATCTTATTATTTTGGGGATTGTAGGGGTTGTGAAGGTGAAAGAATTGTGATGATGATTCAGATCCAGAAGATCCAGGAGATCCGGGAGATCCAGAAGATTCAGATGCATGAGAAGCATACGAAGCATGAGAAGCAGGAAATGAGACATAATCTAATTGAGCCATCATTGGTGGTAATTGTTGCATAATTGGTACAATTTCGCGATGTGCCAAAATACTAGATAAATTAGTATAAGTGGGTGAAATTGGTGGCGAAATAAATTCATTATTTATTAATTGTTCTTGTCCATCTTCCTGTTGAGACACCATAGAAGCTACAGAACCTAATGGAGAATTTACTGAATTTATAGTATCATCTGTCACAATTGATTTTCTACGTGATTTTTTGTAAGAATTTGTACCACTTGATTGAAGGTCATTAGAAGAAGAAATACTTTTACGATTCCTGAATGTTGATCTTCTTAATGGATTACTTCTTAATTCGTTAACAAACTTTGCATGATTTGTTAAATCTGGAGGTATCGATGCTGTCGGTGATGTAGGTGGTGACTTAGGAAGGTATGAATTAGGAAGAGGTGGAGCATCAAAATTCAGTGATAAAGGGATAACGGAAATTTGCGTATCAAATTCCACGGGATCTTCAATAAGAAATTCTAATGAACATGTATGTGGAAGAGGAGTAAAACTTCGCCAAACTGGATTTTCAACATATCTAGGAACAAGAACTTTTGGCATGGTGATCTCCGTCACTACACTTGAGTGAGCGTCGATAGATGCCGCTTTACCATTCATACAAGTAAATATCTTGTTAATTACAAAAGGATCTCTTGCTACACTAATAAAATCTGGAGTTTCTGGAACCCAAAAAGTTTTAGCCAATTCAAATTTAAAATCTGGAGTATTTTTTGCGCTAACCTCACAATGAAATAGATGAACCATATTATGTAGCGTTACAACCGTTAAATAAATATAACTTTTCGTCTCTTTTACATCAAAAGTAGTACAATCTTTAGCGGCGTCCAATTTAACATAATCAGTGGCCCAATTCCATGCATTTATTTTTTCTTCCGCGCTAATATCAACACTATCTAAAGAATTTGAAAGATGTTGCTGAATATAATCCGTTAATTGTGACGTAAAATTTGATAAAGTACGTTGATGTAATTTTCCTGGAAATAACGAATTCCCTGATGTTGAAGAATTAGATTCTGAACTTGTAGAAATAATACTTGTGGCTGATCTTCGTTTGAGCTCTTTACAATTTTTACATATTGTCTTTCCGCTTTTTTGCCCTTCTGAATTAATATTTTCCTCTAATGGATTTCCACAAACATCACATCTTTGTAGTGAATCAGTAATTTTTTTCAAAAAGTTGGGTGTCTTTGAAAAATCTACGGGTCTATCTGATTTCGATTGTAACATAAATTTAATTAAATGTAATAAAGAATCTAATTGATAAATTCGAATCATTTGTTTTTTTCCAGCAATTGCAATCATGATTCCATATTCATCTAAAATCTGAATTTTTCTAAAAGAACATCCTCGAATTAATAGTTTAGGTTTAATTAATTCAGAATTAACGGAAAAATCGATCACACTTAATCCATTCTCATTTCCAATTAATAAATATTGTTTTCCAAACATGGACGCGCATGTCATTTGTTCTATTGATCCAGTATTAGGAGAACCAAGAAGTTTACTCTCAAATTCTCCTACATTAACTGAAGCCTGTCGATTCTCATAATTAACGACTGTAATCACACGTCTTAAACCTGTTGGATTTGACTACAAAAATAGAAGAAATAATTATTATTAATATATATATATAATTTTTTATAAAAAAGGTATATATAATTTATAACATCAATGTAATATATGAGTGATAAATATGTGAAAATTGAATTTAACGAACTTTATCAGAATCATCATTTAGGTCTTTCGAAGTTGTCGTAATTGTCATATCACCATTATCGTCATTTTTAGGACGAGCATTGAATTGAGTGCTCGATACGACATTTTCACTTTCAATCAATAATGTTTTAACGATTTTTTTTCCAAGTTGTTGATTTTTACTCGGAAGCGGTAGGTTGACTAAATTTTCTGAGGTAGGAATAATATTATTTATAGGATGTAATGAAGTATTATTAAACTCTGCTTTATCTTGCATGTTTTTTTTTTAAAAAAAAAAAAATAAAAAAAAAAATAAAATTTTCGAAAATCAGGTAGGACGCATTTATATTAAGCATATATATACAAATCCGATATATACAAGAGTTTCCAAAAAAAAGCCTTATGATGACATAACCTGGTTAGATTAGTTAAAAAAAAAAAAAAATAATAATAAATAGAAGATTCCACAAGAATGATCAATAAGCTAATAAGCTAAGGTTTTCTATTAATAGCACAAAAATTATTCCAAAGTAGGATTATACGGAAGATCTGCTCAATATTAAGCTAATTTTGTGTACAATAAAATTACTTGTCCATTCATACTGCGGTGATAATATGATGATATTTTAATTATTTAATTATTTTTCTAACTAAATATTTGAAGCCTTTTTCGACCAAAATTGAAATTTTTTCTTCGCATTTTTAATTCCGACTAAAAATTCGATTCTTTAATAAAACAAAACAATACATTATTATTTATTATGATGGTTAATATAATATTATTATTTGAACAATTAAAAATTAATTTCTTTTATTTCTTTTAACTAAATAAAATTTAATAATAATATTTGATGTGGTACAATGTTTAATGGGTATTACCGAAAGTTCAAAGATAAAGTTATTTATCCTTTGTACAATGTTTGTGATAAACATAAACATCATTCTATTAAACAATTAACTTTGTTAATAACTCAATGATATTGATACGTCACATTATCCAATCAGGAATCATCAAGAATTATTTTGCTAAATGAAACTTCTAAATGTCGAAATTTTTTTCATAAAAATTTTATTAATTGTCAATATTCATAAAATATGTTAAGTAACACTTGTATACTGAGATTGATTGCTTCGGACTTTCATTTCCGATTTTGCGTTATCTTGTGCCTGATTTGAAAGATAGTGCACTTTTGTGAGCTTTATTAGGTTATAAGTTCCTAACCATTCTAAATAATCATTTAGAACAAAATAACAAAACAAAGTTTTTTAAAATCCTATAAATTACTTTATGCATCATTTAAAACTAAAATTTTACAATCAAAAACTATTTATTTTTATTTTGTTGAATTTTATCTAAATAAAAAAAAAAAATTTTTTTTTTGCTAATTCATTTAATAGCCGCTCAATATCAATATAAATCGTTCTTGAGCTAGATAATTTTTTTAAAACGTAAAATGAATAGTTCTAACGCTACTAAAAGAAGAAAAAAAGGAAAAGGATTCAAACCAAAAGAACCTTACACTAATCGTTTACGTAAAATTCTCGATGAATATCCTGATGGTTCACAGGTTCTTCGTGAAATTCTTCAGAATTCCGATGATTCCAAGAGTACCGAACAAATTTTTATTTTGGATCATAATACATATCCATCAAATAGTTTACTTGAACCAGAGGAGGATAGCTATGAAAGAACAAATCTAAAACTTGATAGATATCAAGGTCCAGCACTTTTAGCTAAGAATAATACTATTTTCGAGGAAAGGGATTTTGAATCTTTGCTGAAATTAGCTGATAGTGAGAAACAAGATCAATTTGATAAGATTGGAGGTAAAAAAATTTTTTTTTATTTACCTTATATGATTAAAATAATATTGATATTGTCTATTAACTTTCTGTCATTTTCATGTAAATTTAGTAATGGGTGTCGGCTTTAATTCGATTTATCATATTACCGATTCACCTTCTTTTATTACTGGTGAAAATTATGTCATTCTTGATCCACACGAATGGTATTTTGATGGTGGTGTCAAATTCAACTTTGTCGATGATAATTTGGCCGAAGAATACCCGGATCAATTCGCTCCCTTCGGAATTCCATGTGATAGATCATTTAAAGGCACCCTCTTTCGTTATCCTCTCCGTACTGATGAAGATTCTATTGATTCGAAAATTTCTGATAAAGTATATAAACCTGATGAAATTTTAGAGATGTTTCATAAATTTTATGAAAAAGAAAGCGTAAATTGTTTATTGTTTTTAAAATATATTGAACGTATTCAATTCTATGAATTGAAAGAAGGTGCTACTGAACCTGAATTACTTTACACAATTCAGTTGGAAAATATTGATGACCACATTCGACAACAACGTCGGTTAATAGTTGAAAAAATTGTACCAATGATGAAATCATTAAAATTAGGAGAACTTAACGGAAATAATCAGTTAGATACTTCTTATGTTGCATCATTTTCTCGAAAGCGAAAAGATGATTCTATAGAAATTAGCTCATGGTTAATTTTAAATTATCTTGATGACTTACTTGAAGTCGAAAAATATTTTTATGAGAACTTTAATAAATATATAGGAGATTATAAATTTATTCCTAATGTTGGTTTAGCTGTTCCTTTGAATAATCCGGATGCTGTTGGAAGATTATTCTGTTTTTTACCTCTTCCTATTGATATGCCCTTTCTCGTTTCCGTACATGGATACTTTGCGGTAAGAATCAATAAAGTTTTGATATTGTTATGATGAATAATAAAATAATACCTTTTTTTGTTTGGTTAACAGGTTAGCACCAATCGACGTACCTTATGGTCGCCTGCCGACAATGAAGACCTAGTAAATAATCAACTTCATAAATACGCAATTTGTTTTTTTAATATTTGTATATATATTTCTAAACTATTAAATATTAAACGTAAATTTTTTAGGCGGTTGATGCGTTAGCGCGTTTGAAAGTTGAATGGAATAAATATTTATTTGAAAAAGTCTTACCTAAAGCTTGGGCAAAATTTCTTAATGAACTTCCGCTTAAAGTTTCTAATCTTCGATCAGGTGATTTACATAAATTCTGGCCAAGAGATAATGAAGGAACTTCTAGCATTAGTTCTTTTTGTAAGGATCTATTACAAAATGTCATAGAAAATCTTAATATTGATGATCGTGTATTCAGAGGACCTCCTTCATCAAATACCATTGGAGTAGTATCTAAAGCTTCAGCAGATTCGTATGATACACCCTTATTTCAAGAATCCGAATTTCATTGGCTTTCTCTTTTAAATGGCTATTTGGAGGATGAAAAATCGCGAATTTATGAATTACCTAAAATAATTGGAAGTATTGGGTTTCCATTCATATCAACCTTACCTACCATCCTCAACGCCTTAAAAAAATCTACTAAACACGAAGATTCCCTCCATTTTTTTACTCCTGCCACCATTCGTAATTATTTAAGGTGTAATAGTGATAGATGGCAGGAAGGTGTAATATCAAGAAAAGAAATCTTATATTTATTTGAATATATATTAGAGGACAAAAAGTTTGATGAATTAGAAGGTTTTAAAATGATTCCGCTTGCAGATGGTACGCTTGGTACTTTAACACAATCTGGTAATTCTTACGCGTATATTGGCCCAGATGAAATTCTTAAAACTCATAAAAACGATGAATGTAATATTTTCAAAGATCAACTGAATAAGTTCATTGATAAATCGATTAACAATTATACACTATATCACTGCTTACATGAAAATGCAAAAGCAAAATGGATTTTAAATATAAAAATATTGGATGAATTTGCTGTTGGTGATATGATTAGATATTCATTGAATTATACAGAGAATACACAAGATTCTGAAGAAATACCAATGCCAAATAATTATGAATGGATTTATCAATTATGGGATAACCTAAAATTTAGAAATTGGGATTTAACTAAATTTGAAGATATTCATTTAATTCCGACAAATCATTCTACTCTTAGAAAGTTGAAGACTCCTAGAAAGACTTTTTCGGGTAAAAATATCTCAAACAATTCTTTAATTTCTATTTTCGAAAAATTTGGTGCTGTTTTCGTTGACAGTGAATTTGATAGACAAATTTCAGAATGGAATAAGTAAGTATTTTTTTATAAATAAATTTTTACATCTTTTTTTAAAAAAAAAAAAAATAACTAAAAACTTTTTTTATATAATCAGAATATCTCCATATATTATTAAGCCTGATAACATTATATCGGTTTTGGATTCCTTCCGTGCTAATGCATCATATCCAGATAATTTGAAAATAAATTTACAGAGTAGCGAAGCAACAGCGCTCGTTGAACATTTATCTAATTATTTACGGCTTGCTAATAAATCTAATCTAATACGAAATCATATTGATGTTATTAAACATCTTCCTATTTTTATCGAAGTTGACCATACTTCACCAATTCCATTGTTACCATTACAACCTGAAAACAAAAGTTGGTATCTTTTACCTCGTGAAGAAGAAAAATCATATGGTAAAATTATTTATCCAAGTGATAAGGGAGGATTTATTAATACTATCTCACAAAATATGTGTTATATATTGGAAGATATTATTAAAATTCCTCGATTAACTGTAAATGATTATTGGAGAAGATATGTAATACCATTTCTTGAATCACAAATACCGGGAGACATAGATATAGTTGTTGACAAACTTTTTGATCGATTAACATCTTTACTTGATGTTGATGCTAGCTTAAAGGATGATCTTGGAAGAAGATCTTTTGTACCCGTTGGTACAATTAGAATGTCGCAACAACAACAAACGCCTAATGTTATAATTTTGGCCAAACCAATGGAACTTTTTGATCCAAAAGCAAAGACAGTGACTGATCTATTTTTTGAAGATGAGCAACTTTTTCCTGCCGGTAGATATGGTAGCCCGCAAAAGTACCTTCCAAATTTGAAGTTGTTAGGAATTAAATCAGTTCTTACCCCAAATGATATTATTTCTCGAATCGATGCTATTATAAAACGAAGAGAAACTACCAATGAAGAACTCGTTCGTATCAAGGCAGATAGGCTTTTAAAGTATATTGATGATAAATGGGATCAGATAACTAAAAATAGTAATGCGTCCTTGGAAGCTCTTTTAGAAAAAGAATGGATACCTACAGTTGACGAATCTGGAAAAAAGTTTTTTTCGAAACCTAGAGAATGTTATGGTAAAAAATATAAATATCTAGTTTGTTTGGCTGCACCTGTATTAGAATATAATCTTAGAAATCGTAACTTATTAAAATATTTAAAGTGGGACACTTGTCCCGATGTTGGAATTGTCCTAAAACAATTGGAATTTTGTCGTAGTGATGTGAATAATAAAAGACCACCAAAGGAATTAAGATCTATTTGTAACGCTATTTATGAATATATGAATGAAGCTTTTCAAGCAAATGACGAGACATCAAAAGAAAGATTTAATTTTATCAATAAATCTTTAAAAAATGAATCATGGATTTTATGCGGAGATAAATTTCGTTCAAGTGATAAAGTTGTCATCAATCTTCCTAATAGATTTCAGGATAATGATTCTTTAATTGTTAAACTACCTATGGAGTATTATAGATTCAAAGATTTATTTAAACATATGGGAGTTCGAGACGAAATTGGAGTCAAAGATTTGGTTAATTTTATTAAAAATATGGTCAAGGAAGATAAAAATAGAGCCTTAGATACACATGAAGTAGACAGCGTTATTATGATCCTTGAACAAATCGCCAGGATACGAAAGGATAATAGGAGAGAAGGAAATGAAAATGATACGGAAGAATTGGAGGGATTGTTGATTCCAAGCGATAAAAATGTACTTGTTGACTTTCATGAAATTCATTTTGATGATATGGAAGGTAGACTGAACGGACTAAACGAACTAAACGAATATTCTATTAAACATATTGCTCATTACAATATAACTTCGGATATTGCTACGAAATTAGAAATTCAAACTTTAATAGGAGAAATATATGGTAATCTCAATAAACTATAATATTCAAATTAATATTAGTGAATATAGATTATGTAATAATTTACTAATTTTAATATTAATTTCTAGGTAATTCTGACTGGGAAATCTTTGAACAAGACGAGTCATTGACTACCAGAATAAAAAATATTCTCAAGGTAACCTTTAATTACTATTTCATTCGCATTAAATATTAATTTACTAAATATTGTATTTGGCATGAGTAGGACTATTGGATGGGCTATCTATTTAGAGAATTTCTTCAAGTAAGTTATATGGTAATTTTAATACTTCTGAAATAAACAAAATTAAATTAATATTGGAAAATAACTTTTCAAATGTAGAATGCAGATGACGCTAAAGCAGAACATTTTTTGGTAATCATAGACGAAAGACAATTTAACTTTCCTAATAAAGAATTCATTTCAAAAAAAATGGAAGATTGGCAAGGTCCTGCGATATGGATTTATAATTCTGCAGTATTTTCTTCTGTTGCTCCTAATGATGACTTTAAATCTTTGCGCAATCTTGGCATTGGAGGGAAATCTAATGATGACACGAAAATTGGAAAATTCGGGATAGGATTCAATTGTGCGTATCATTTCACAGATTTACCTAGCGTCTTGAGCGGACAATATATTGCATTTTTAGATCCGCATGCAAAATATCTTCCTCCCACAGGATTTCCTCTTAAAAGACCAAAAGGTACTCGATTTGATTTCGTTGCCAAGAATTTAAAAGAAAATTGTCCAGACCAATGCTACCCATATGAAGCGATATTTAATTTTATTAAGAATAAATTTCCAGATAAATACAAAACAGGAGGTTGTGATTTTTCAGGAGAATTCGAGGGAACCTTATTTAGACTCCCACTCAGAACTCATAAATTAGCAAAAGATAGTGATATATCAACCAAAGTTATTAGTACTCATAAAGTTATGGAACTATTCAGTAATATTCAGGATAATAATGAGATGCTATTTTTAAGAAATATAGAATCGTGTGGTCTATATCGCATGAAAGGTAGAAAACCTGAATTGCTCTGGGAAGAGGAAATTACGACAAAAGAACACCGTCAATTTCGTCGAAAAGTTATTGACAAAGAACAAATCTATCAATTGAATATTGATAAATCTAATTATGTACAAAACAAAAAAGTTTCGGAGATATGGGCTGTATGTACGGGAGGACATAACAAGGTCAAGCCGGAGTCAAGGGAACTTGAAGGAAAGCTTAAAAAATTTTCAGAGGAAAAACGACTGAAGGTAAACGAATTATACACTATTTCATTTTCATTCTCATAACATTAAATAATATTTTATCAAATTTTATTCATATTTTTTTATTTATTTAATAAAGCCAAGAGGTGGAGTTGCAGCTTTGCTTGCTCAATCTAATGAAAAAACATTGAAGGAATTAAGAGATGATTCGGTAAAATTTTTTCTTTCTTTGTAATATTTGCCTATCAAGTATTAACCCAATTAATTTTTGCATTATAGTTTCCAAATCCTCCCGATCTTATAGGAAAAATTTATTCATATTTATCTCTATCAATAACTAGCAATTTGGGGGTTCACCTAAATGGGGACTTTTCATTATCTAGTGCAAGAAGTGGCGTTCTACAGTCTGACAACGAATTTTTACTAGCCGATTGTGATGATGCAAAATGGAATAAATATATTATGCATGACGTTTTATCCGATTTACACGTTAAATTAATTGAATATATTGTGGAGCTTGAAGAAGCTCGGTACAAAGAGACAAAAAAGAAAACAGATTTTATATCACATACCATGAATAATCTTTGGCCCATTCCTGCTAGGGAAAATTCGATCATGGCATACAAAAGCTATGGATTAAACGTTATTAGAAAATTAGGCCTTAAAAGCAAAATCTTCTGGACCGGAGTTAATCAAGGTCAATTTATTTCATTAAAAGATGCTAGAATTTTTGAGAAAGAGAAAGCAATAATTGTAGATATGTTGGTTAAATCAGGAATTTCAGCTGTGAAACTTGATAAAGATAAAATTGAACAACTTGATGAAATTAAATCCATGAACAATCCAAGATTTCCTTATGAACCTATAAACGGAAAATTAATTTGTAATGAATTACAAATGAGGAAATTTAAGTTGCCTTCTTTTAATACCGACGATTCATTATTCCAATTACTTGATTTTATTCTTCAAGATAAAAGTTCTTTTAAAAATCTTGCCGGATTACCATTAGTTCCATTGAATGACGGATCAGTCGGTAAATTTGGTGAAGTTTATTATATCGGGAAAGACAAACATTTAAAATTGTTCCCAAAAAGTGGAACATCAAAATTTATCTCCATCGAATTACCGGAGAATCTAAAGAAAATTTTTAATGATGATGAATTTATTTCATGTACAAATATCAAAAAGTTTGATGCCTCGGTTGTTGTAGATCTCTTAATGGATGAATTACAGCTCGTAAAAGAACTTGAGTGGGATCCCGATGGAGAATCTATCCCGAATAAGATTTGGCTTGATAAAATCTGGTCAATATTGAACAAATCAGCGGAAAAATTAGATTTCAATGAACTTTCTAGATATCCTCTTTTACCGATGGTTAACCCTTCCAATATGCTTATTCGCCTTGACATGGATGATCCACTTTTACACATTCCTGAGAATGGACATGTTTTATATCCAACATTAGTAAAACTAGAAGTGCGTTTTACTAACATGTCATTTCATGAAAATGCTCACGAAAACCTTCAAAAATGTGTCGAAAAATACACTCCTATAAACATAATTAATGCTTTGAAGAGAGCATGTGCTTCTTCATTTTCGGATATGGAACAATTGTTTTATAAGAATGATCTGGAAGATGTGGACTATGAAAAGCTTAGAGCATTTATTAAAGCGGAAATTGATACCTTGATCGGTGAGTTTAAAGGAACGATTAAAAAATTTTGTATTTTAATATTTTATATACTTACCTTTTTATTATCTTAATAGAGCATGGACAAAAAGATCGAAGTTTTATGGATACTTTAAAATCTTTACCCATATGGCCAATGCATTCTTCCGAAAATAGGTTCAATGATGCCATATCTGGAAATCTTCTTACTTACAAGCTTCCATTTTTTTCCTTTAATCAAGATACAAATTTCTATAGATGTAATAACGAGTCGGATTTCAATGTACTTACTAAATTGGGTGCCAATCCTGTAGATGAATTAGAATACATTAGACATTATATAGTACCAGTACTCACTACACAATTTCCAGAACCTTCCGAAGAATATATTAATTTCTTGCAGAGTGTTTTATCTTTAAGAAATCGTGAAATTGAACAATGTCTTAGATTGTATCAAGCAGTACCAAACCAACCAGGCACTGAACAGTCAGTTTCTTCTTTAGTAAGGGCCGATACTTTATATGACGCGAATAATCCGTTGTTTCGCAGAATCTTTGCCAACACAGACAAATTTTTACCGCCAGAATTACAAAACAATCCTGCTTGTTTAGAAGCTCTAGGAAGAATGGGTCTTAAACGTGAAGTAGATTATGACAAATTTGTCGAATGTGCATTAGAAATTGAATCACAGAAATCACAGATTCAGTATAATATGTTTCAAGAAAATGTGGTTAAAGATCGTGCAAAATTTTTAGTAAGATATTTATATGAACATACTAATTCCTTGAACTTCAATACTGAACAATGGAACAAAATTCTAGGAATCAAATTTGTTCCATCAGAAAAGAATCATCAAAATATTCAAAATCAATTTTATCAAGGACAAAAAGAGACTTCAGGGTTTGAATCATTTGAAGATCTTTGTTCTCATAAATATAAGAAAATATGCTGGACTCAATGTCCACTATTTGATGATGATGTTGAACCAACTACTAGTTTTAGTGAGAAGCATTCAGAAATCGGATTTCCAACTACAGAAAATATTATTGATCATTTGTTTGCTATCGTGGCAATGTCTAAAGAAAAAAAATGGAGTAAAGATAACAAGAGGGAACTAAAAAATGTAATTAATGAAATTTATGAAATATTGAATAAACTTTGTAAAAATAAAAGTCATATTTTGTTGATTAAAACGAAAATTGGCCCTAAAAAGGAGATATTATTAAATGGAGATGATCCGTTCGATGAAAAAAGCGATGAAAAAAGCTGGGTAGCAGGAGGAGAACTTATACTTGGAATACAAGAAGATATCAAAGTGGGAATGTATAAAGTTAATAACTGCTTGATAGATTATGAGGAATTATTGATTATTCTTGGGGCCCGTACAATAAGACCACCTCCAGTTCCAGTTCCAGCTCCTGATCCTGATGATCAAAAAGAAGTGGTGCTTAAATCTTTGCTGGACAAGCTTATAAGTCAGTCCGATATTGAATGTCAATGTAATGATGTTGTTTTTGTTGTTGGTGAAGAGAAAGTAAAAATTGGTGCTAGCAGATATGTGCTTTCGGGTACGTTAAATTGTTTTTAATTTATTAAATAATATGTATTCTTTATTAATATTTGTTTTAAATTTCTATTTTATATAGCTGTTTCAAAGCATTTTAAGAAGATGTTTTGTGGTGGTTTAAGAGAGTCGACAATGAGAGATGTTGAAATTCCATTAGAGGAATTTGAACCAGATACATTCTGGATATTACTTCAATGGTTGTACGGGCAATCTTTTGAGGATGCAGCAAAATCTGTTTTATGCAAGCGTGAAAATTTTACCTCGGAAGAAGAAAGTTATGAATCTTACTATTTAACATCTTTGTTAAATCTTCTAAAAATCTCGGATTATCATGGTGTTAAACTCAAAGATGAAGTAGAAAGCAAAATTATAAATGGATCATATATTAGTATCATCAATGTTTGTGAATGTTTAGTATGGTCAAAGGATTCCAAAGCAACTCGATTAAGAGATTACTGTAAAAAGTATATTAAATCAAATTGGGAGCTTGTTTTAGAACAAAAACTAGAATATCGCGCAAATGCTTCGGATATACAAGAAGAAGAGGATCAAACGAGGATGTTAGAGTTATTGTTGTCAGATGATCATTAGCTATGTAGAAATTTATTCAGTTTATTTTATCATATTTTTAGTATTTGGTTGTAATCTTAGTTTAAATTGGTATTTATTTTTTTATAATTTTATTATTAATAAACAAGGATCATGAAATAAATTATCCTAGTTGTCATAATTTTCTCTATTTAAAAAGTAAAAACGAAGATTATTCAAAATTGAAGGATTTTTGTTACAATTGCTTTTATTTTTGCATTTTTGATGCGTCATCATTAAATTTATAAAGCTTAAGAATTCTACGATCCAAAGCTTCATTTTAAAAACCAATAGTTGTCGTACGTAGAGAGGACACTATATTTGAGGTTATTTTCCCCCATGTAATTGAAGATCTGTTGAACTACCGTTCTGGCCTTTTCGTTCTTTCGATAAAACTTGGGAAGGGTATTTCCCCGGCCCAATCTCTTGTAAAATGTGTTTCCTCTTTACTTCTATCGTCATCGTCAAGACCAATAAATTGCAAGATAAAGCATGTGAAATCGGAAACACTTAGGCAACCTCGAATGGCGTATAAGACCACTCAGGAACATACAAATAGGTAAGACGAAAACCAGTGGTGTAGGATCAACCACTTGTGTGGTGTATGACGAAAAAATGACCCGTGTATAAAATACACCACACTTATCTTTGTTAATATTATATATATATATTAGCGTTTAAAGTATGTGGTGTATAATATTTTATACACAACTGCTTTTTTAAGCTTTTTTTTTAAAAAACCTTCGCTCCTTCAGTTATTTATTTAAAAAAAACAATTTCATGGCGTTTATAACATTTCAAAATGTTGCTAATATCATTTATTTTGATAAGTAAATAAAAATAATAGTATTATGTTTGAACGAAACTAATTAAACTAACTAAAATTTTTGTCAGTAAAAATATATAATAATATTTATAACTAATGGAGTCGCGAAATATTTATTTATTACTCCATGATACGAATATCAGCTTCCCGTTCTCTTAAAGCAATTTTGCGTTCTTTAAGAGCAAGAACTCGCTCTTGATATTCGAGTTCATTAAGTTTGGAGAATGATTTATTTTCCTTATCTATTTTATCATCATTATCATCATGATCTTCAGTATAAGAATTAATCACAATAGCTTTCTTGGACCGTTTCTTACTACTACTCGACTGTGCATTTTGTTTACGCTTGATAGGAACTGATTTTAAAGATTTTTTGACTTGCACATTTGCTAAAGATGTAAATAATTTTATGTAAATAAGTTGGTTATTTAAATTAAAAGTAATAGATTATTGCAACTCCATTTTCACTTGTTGGACCTCCATAGTTAAATCTTCTTCATATATAATATCCACTTCATTAATATCTATAGATGACATTTTTAAGTTATAATAAAAGTTTATATAAAAGAGTATGAAAGAGCTTGATTTTATTACAATACTATTGAGATGTTTAAAGGTTTTAACGTGAAATGCGTAACGCGTAAAGAAAAAAAGAAAAAATTTTTTTTATTATTTTGTGATGTCATGATTATCACATTATTATTTCATACAAAGTTACTAGCAAATAGCAATACACATCGGTCCTTACTCCTTACAAATCATACACATGAAATTTTATGTAATACACCACACGTGAGGTTGACCCTACACCACTGGTTTCCGTATTACTCATACAAATATAGCAACATGAACATCCTCTTCATTTACTATCTCTTTCACTACAAATTTTGGACTCTCAAAGTTTGGCTGGTCGAAGCGGTAACTATTAACTTGATCGAAAAGGTTTCTCCAAAGGAGTACTTTGATGGTGGTCCCCCATTAACTTTCGTAGTGGTCTTTGACGTAGCGCAACTAGGATAACGCTTCTAGAATTGAAAAAGAAAACCGAGTTGAGTTTATATTCTCAAAGAAAATTCCATGCTCTCTGGGGTATTTAACTTACGTGGTGACTTTACGATAACATGGATATGTTCTTCGGGAGGTAAGCCAGTAAAAATGAACATAATGGGGTTTTTTTGGTTTTATAATTATAAATATTGCTAATTTTTTATTTTTTTTTTTATAAGTTTTACGTGATGTTACAAATGATTTATTTATCAATAATGGTAGTAAAAAATTTTTCAGGAATGAAAAGAAATCTAGTGGGTCACGTTCTTGCTGTTGCAAGTAAAGTAAAAAAAAAATAATAGTGTTACCACCAGTTTCTGACGTTCGGTAGGTAGTAACAGAAAGAAAAATAAGGATCGGTTTATTAGTGGTAAGGTAATATAACAATATATAACAATCGATAAGGTAAAATCGATAATGAACGATTATAAGCGATAATAAATGATGCGATAAATTAAGGTAGATCAAGTGGTGTGTGTATAAAAGCAATTAATTATACGATGTATACGAAAATCAACGATGGTTTATTATCGTTTATTATCGTTTATTATCGTTTACTATCATTATCATTTATTACCATTTGTTGATTTTTGCTATACATAATAAACAGTGTAAAAAAAAAATATATAAAATGTACAATACGGAAACAGATCGGCGGTTTATTAACAATGAAACAAAATACGATATTACTGCTCTATCGGCGCTCTGTAATATCCGTATATTATCGGCTGATAATAAACCTAACTAAACTTTTTCTAAACGAATTCAAACTGAACTTTTACTACTATCAACGACGGTCCCTTTTTATAATGTTAGATTTTTGATACGACACTGTCTTTTCGAACAGAATCGCCATCTGAACAGAATTGCCTCCCGCCCAATTGTGGCGATCTGGTGGCGATCACTAAAAAAAAATAACTAAAAATAACTATACTAAAAATAAACAAATAATAAAAAAAATAAAAAAATCATCCCGTGACAATAGTTAGCCGAAAACGATGAGGCCAATATGGCACAGTAACACGTGATTTAGTATTTGGAAACAAGTTCATAGTCATTTCACGTGACTCTTAACGAAAATTTCCAAAATGTTCTAGTTATTGATTAGTGAGCATTTTTCTGTACAAACTTAGTTCCTAATCTCTCCAGTTCTAGATGGAATCCCGAAGGATTCGCTTCATGAATCTAGTTTTACTGCTCTAGCCACAGGACATATCTAAATAGTCACTTCCAATTTCATGGACTGATTTTCTGCTGTAAGATTTTCTTCACTTTGTTCACACCCAGGTGCATTTAGATCTAATATGATCACTTTGTGAAATTGTCCAACACGATAATAATATGACATCCACTTCTCTATTGTTATTAATGACTATTAACGTTACTTCGAAACAGGAAGATAATATTGTTTTACTGAGCTTTTCTTGAGAATCGGAATCCCAACATCTTCTATAAGTTATTGTATACAGGAGGAGCGAAATGACAAAAATCGAATTGGGCTTGAACCTAAATATGTAATGAGCAAATTAATGTCGTAGAGATGGTAATTATAATTTATTGAAATTATACCTCTGAAAGAAAAGCTTCCGTAATTTTCATTTCACCTTTCAATTTCTTTAGAGCAACTTTACATGTATGGACCAGTTCTATAATGCATAAATTTATCTTCCGTTTTAATTCTCCAGCTCCATATTGCAGAAAATATCGTACCAAACCCACCTTCGCCAATCTGCCAATCTGTCCCATTTGGGACAAAGAGCTGTATGAAACCCATTCGGGATATCGTCCATATGGATAAAAGCTGCGTTGTTTGTATAAATCCATCAATTAATTCATTACCACTTCCCCAACTCAAAAACTTGTCTTTCAAAATTTCATGAAGGCAGTTATTACAAATGCGTGGCAATTCTAAAATACATTTCTCTGCTGTAAATTCACACTTTTAAAATTAAAACAAAGAAAAACTTAAAGATCGAGAACGTGGTTCATAATTACTCATTTTAGTAGATACAAACCAACAAAAATAATTTCGACTTCTTGAACAGTTGAACTAATGAAATAACTAGTTTATAAAAATTATTCTATTTATTAAATAAAGTCATTTTTTTTACCAACAACTTTCACCTAGAAAGCCTTCTAGAAGTGAAGATTATATTTTAGGCTATATTTAGATTATTCTGTATAAATTAATGTATAATTACGTTCTTGACTCAGTCAAAATGATTATGCATGACAAAAATGTTCTTTTCTTGACCTGCAAAAAAAAACATTAACGCGTTGTTATTTTAACTTATTTCCATATTTTTTTTTTCATTAATATGTTAACAAAATAATTTTTTATTTAAAAACTTTATATTCAACGTAATCCTGCTTTTTTTTATTTTAATATGTTAGATTTATGTGGGTTGGTTGTGTTTAATATTTATTACATAATTACTTGATTTACTTTTTTTAAATGTTAATTGACGATCCGCGAGTCAACTAGAGAAATTACATATAAAATTTGACGCAAATCATATACTAATTTGTCATAATACGCCGACTTTAATGATTTCTGATGTAACAAAAACTATAAGCATAGTTTACTAAAAATAACACAAACAATAAAGTAAATGTCACACTTTTATTTTTCAAAGCTACAAAGTGTAAAACTTTTTTTTGACGAAGTTTACCTTGGAAGCACGCGGCATTTACTATGTTATTAGGTAAACTAAGGTTTTAAAAGTACAAATTATGGAAATTTTTTTATATTTCACTAAACTTTCATGCATATTGCTTTATTTTTGATTTATTTTATTAGTAAACTATGCTGTAATAACTTCTAACTCGACAAATTCAAGACTTTTTCACACTCATTATACAAGTGATATGGTATGATAAAACTAGTTTTTGTCTTTCGAATCTCAGATCTCTTAGAAATTGGACTTTTTTCCAATGTTACATTATGATTTTTTTTGCATGAGATTGGTGGGAAAACTGTGGAAAACTATTTCATTAAAGAAAAATGGCGTTATTTAAACATTTGGCTAGAGAAATTCATGAACAACCCCACATTCGGAATGCGGCTTTTAATTAATAAATTTCCGTCAAATTTTATTATCGTTTTCGCTACTTGACTCGCGGATCACCAATTAATCTATCATATTACCATCCTTCGTAAATAAAATAAAATAAAATAAATTATTTTAATATTTTACTAGGGGTAACCCGTCGCCGGGGATGATACTTGCCCATCAAGTAAGAGAGTAATAATAACACACTTATATTTTATTTGCCATGCAGTGTGAATAAGTCTTAATTTTTTACTATTTATTATGATGGCATTAGTAGGAAATAAATATAATAAATTACACAATTTATATGATTATACAAATAACAATGAATTGTGTGCAAGTGTTATACAGTAAATGAAATATTATTATTAAATGTAAATTTTATTTATCATACAAAACAAATGTTGCAGTACTGTGAAATTTACAAATTCATTACAAAAACAATTTTATATAAGTAGTTTATTGTTACATTGTTACAAAAAAAAATCTTTTTTTTTTTTTTATCTTAAAAAATATTGTAGCATTAAAAAAAAAATTAAAAATTACATCCTCTGTTGAAAAAAATATATATATATTGTTACCATATCTCAAAGAAATTCATTATAGCAATCTATTGTCATGAAAAAAAAAATATTCCCCAGAAATTAATTATAACGATCTATTGTTACAAAAAATAAATAAATAAGTAATTATGTTAGTATATTATTGAGCTTGATACAAAAAAATATTATTAATAATAAAGAATCGGGAAAAAGGGCAATTGTCGTGGCTGATCTGATCACCAAGAAATTCGGTTTGAAAGGAAAAAAGTCAAACCGAAAAAGGAAAAGGGGATAAAAAATTTTCGGATTGGAAAAAAAAGCCAACCGGAAAATAACCGAAAAAATAAAAACGAAAAAAAAATTTTGCGGGGAGAGACAAAGAGGAAAAAATAAAAAATAAAAAAAATTTGAAAGAAAAGAAAAAAAAATTGGGGAAAAAGAAAAAGGATAAAGAAAGAAATCGGTTTACCGAAAAAAATTCTGAAAATATTATGATCTAAGAAAAAAAGACCGAAAAAAAATAATATATGTCTTAAAAGATTATTTAATAAAAAAAGAAAATAATAATTATTTTTTGGTTTTGGAAAAAAAAACCAAAATCTAAACGGTGAAAGAATGAAAAAAAACAAAAAAAAAAAGAGGAAAAAAAACGAAAAATTTTTAAAAGAAAAAAAAAAGGAAAAGAGAAAGGTGTTTCGAAAGAGAAAAGAGGAAATTTGAAAAAAAGAAAGAACTATTTGTAAGAGATAGGTTCAAGAAAAAAAATAAAAATAAAAATTATTATTTTTATTGTTGGTTAAAATCCGGTATTATATTACCACAATTAGGTTTGTCATTATAACGATTTGAAGATTTTTTTTCTTATATTAATTATTCGGTAAATGAATTTGCATTTACGGAATATGTCACAGGATAAATGTTTTATGGGGAGGAACGATAAGGGACCTTTTTTCTTTTTTGAGAAAAAAAAAAAAATTCTTTTTATCTTAATTTTCTTTAATGGCTAAATTAAATTAATTTTTTAACGCCCTCATTTTCTATAGATAGGATTTGCATATTATAATATTCATAATGACATATTCTTTCTAATGAATCTCTTTAATAAATGAAAAAAAATTTACGCCACGGTAAATATTATAAGCTGTAGCAGCTAATCCATGAGAAGATCATTTGTACCTTACAATACAGATTGTTCGTTCGAGAGCGTTTCATAGTAATCAATTAAAATGGTTGTATTGCGAAAATTTTAAAAAAATTGTGACTAAAACACCCACATATGTTAAGTTGCGTGATAAAGGCTAAGAAAAACAGTCCAAAGGTTTTATCACGTCCGTAGTCTTTCTTGTGATCATCAAAAGAGAGGGTGCACAATTTGACCAAAAACAACTGCACTATATGTTGGACTTGAGCAAAATTGCGTGATAAAAGTTAAAACAATCCAAAGATTTTATCACATTTGTAGTTCTTTTTTGTGATCATCGAAAGAGAGAGCGCACTTTCATCACTTCTATAAGATAACCTTTGCATATCATAATATTCATGGTGACATATTGGCATGTTACGTTCTTGCCAATGAATTTCTTTTAATAAATGGGAAAATTTTTGTGATAATAAAATATATAAATTGGCATTTCAGTTTGACAATAAGAGATAAAAGAATATAACTCAAAGACCATATTCTATGTTAGACTTAAGTGATAAAGCTTAGAAAAGAATTTCAAAATTTCTAATCAAATCCCCATCCATATTCCTCCTTGTGAACATCTGAAAAGAGATGACTTGGATGATGAAAAACCTTTATCTTGTACTCTTAATGAAGAAATAAAAAGGAATTATAAACATTGTAACATAAATCTTAAGTTTTTCTTTTTTTTTTAGAATAAACAATCCAGTAGTAATAATATTTCCTTACATCTAAATATTCCAAATACAGTAAATTCTTTTTTTTTTTAGTTTCATACTTGAGTTCTCTATCAATCACAGCAACAATGAAAGTGTACATCACAATTAAACAGAGAGAAGATAGACCTAAAAAAAAGAAAATGAAAAAAAAGAAGATAAAATAACTATTATATAATATATCACATGACCCTCAGAATCATCATCCAACACTTCATTATAACTAAATGTTGTTTTTACAAATTTCTTGTGGGACATCTATAAATTAAAAAGGATGATTAGCTTTCGCTAAGTACTCTACTTAAGAATTTCATCCCACCATCTGGTAGTGACGTGAGGCAGTATCCTTCTAAAGTATCAAGTAACATAACGAAGCAGTTCGGATCTTCTTCCTATATATTAGTGTCGATATTTTCACCGTCCGTTCCTGAAAACTGCACAATAAAAGGTATAGCTACAAGTATCTGTTTGAAAGAACTTACAAAAACACAGCTTTAGGTTATTGTGTCCTTTCACTGACATCTCTCCT